TTAATGTGATAATATCATTGTTTGGAGGATGTGAAGCAAACAGAATTGTCAGTTGAAGTGTAAATTGCGGAAACCACTTTGGAAACTATTTGGTATTATTTGGTCAAATTGAAGATGCACGCACCCTGTGATCCAGTCCTCCTCCCAGGGATGTACCCTGAGAGGCTGTACACATGTGTCCCAGGAATGGTCACAGCATCACTGTCTGTCTCAGCAAAATACTGGAAACAAGTCAAATGTCCATCAACAACAGAATGGATATGTTCTCATACAATGGAACATAATTCATCAGTGAAAATGAAATACACCTATATGTAACATGGCTTAATCTCAAGAACATATGTTAAGGAAAAAATTTAGATCACTGAAAAATAACGAAATGATTTATTTAGTTCAAAAACATGCAAAATTAAACAATACATTGCTTAGCAATACAAACACATGTGGTAAAACTATAAAGAAAAGCTAGAGGTGGGAATTCCCTGGCGGTCCAGTGGTTAGGATGCAGAACTTTCACGGCTGTGGCCCAGGTTCAATCCCTGGTCAGGGAACTAAAATCCCACAAGCAGGCTTGGCACAGCCAAAAAAAAAAAAAGTAAAAAATAGAAAAGCAAGAGAATGATAAAAGCCAAATTCAATGATTAGGTGGGGGTGGGAATGGGACAGGATCAGGGAGGGCACTCCAAAGGTAATGGTAACATTTTTTTTTGTAAACTGGGTGATGGGTACATGGGTGTTCCTTGTATCCTTTTCCTTTATATGGTACAGTATTCTTTTGTATCTACTCAATATTTAAAAAGACAATTTACAAAATTAAACAATGTTCCTTCTGACTTTAAGCAATGATTTGAAGCATTAACTTGGGCAGCTGACTGAGTTACACTAAACCAGGAAAGTCCCTGACAGGGGCCCACCCAGCCCTGAGACTATAGTAATGAGAAGTGCTTCACCACCCTGGCTCCGAAGCCGAAGCTGGAGAGATACAACTTCCCACTGAACCCTGGAGCCTTCCATTCAGGACAGGAAAATTACTGCTTAATCGGCCAGTACAGGAAGTAGTGCGGGTGGGGTGAGGAGAACAGGTTCTGCTGCCAGACCTTTTAAGACCAGAAGCTGAGTATGTTTTTGATGTAACAATGAACCCACCAAGCCTCCCTTCGGGCTAGGTCCCTACTCTCGGCTGGAATTGCCACCTCTGAGGCTCTGCATTCTGCGGTTTAGACATGAGTGAACAACTCTCAATTCTAACCATGCCCTTTGCTTCCTTCCTTTGAAGCTCAAGGCTGATCTCTCCAATTCATAACAAGCAGGTTTGAATGGAAGAGCCCATGCTCTGGTTTTCTGTACGTATCTGTGACTACATTATTGAGGTCAGCCTCAATCGGTCCTCGGACTGCTGAGCTACTGACACCCATGAGGACCTCCGAGAGTGCCAGGCACCTATGCTGACACTCAACACACACATCTGCAGCAAATGCTGAAAGCACTCGGTGCTAAAATGCCTACTCTTTGTGACCTCTGTGATTTCAATCATTTAAAAATGTGGCCAGCAAAAGAGGTAGATAATGGTCTCCAGGACAATATGCTTTGTGCACAAAAGGTACTGGGAGTTTTTCATTTCCTCTAAGGTTGGGGTCCCTCCCTTTTGTGGTGTCTGTTACCCTGACAGACACCACGTCTGAGTACCTCCGTGCCACCCACGCGGCACCATCTTGGGGGAATTCCAGGACGGTAGAGAGTGGGCCACCTGCTCTCTTCTGTGGCAAACTGTTAAAACTGAAGCTCTGCCCACAGAGGCTGCCCTTTCAGCGTTCTAAATGGAAGGTTCAGTATATGTGCAACGAAATCAAGCCATTTGGCACTTAAAAATGGTCCTCCTTATATATACATACAGACGTATATATGCACAGAAGAGCCCGGGCACGACACACAAACGCTGTTAATAGTTATCTGCGAGGGGAACCGGGTCAGGCGTGGGAGGGTGACTTACTTTCCCCAGTACTTTTGTTAGAACCTTCTGATTTTTGGACCTCATGCATGTATTCCTGTCCTAAACATTTTTTTCTTCCTCAACTCTGCACACTTTCTTTCTTGACCCTCACAGGGTCATCCTCTCCTAACACATAATAATGCTGGTTACCAATTACGGAGTCAAGGACTTGACTAAGCATTTTACATGCATTACCTCATTAATAATTCCACCCAATAAAGTTTGTGTGAGGTCATCATTATCTCCACTTCACACCCGAGGAAGTGGAGGCTTAAGAGAGGTCAAGTACTTTGCCCAAAGGCACACAGCTAGTAAGTATAAGGACCAGCTCAGGTATGCTTGGCTTAGAAGTTCAAGCTTCTAACCAGCACCCTGTACCTCAGGGGTTCTTAGCTGGGGGCAATTTTGCCCCAGGAGACGTACAGCCTCTTCTGGAGACATTGTCAGCTGCCATACTTGGAGGTAGGTGGGGGCTACTGGCATCTGTGGACAGAGGCCAGAGATGCTACTTGCATCCTGTGCACAGGACGGCCCCCAAGACAAAGACTCACTAAGCCCCAAATGGCAATAATGTCGACGCTGAGAAACCCTGCTCTACTGGAAAAAGAAAGACAGAGAAACTATCTCTGACCTAGACTCTCATAGTTTAGGTCATAGTTTACCATGTCCACATCTCATATTACACCCAAACACCAAATAAACCATTGGGTTGTCCTCTCTTCATTAATAGTATGCCAAACCCTCATCACACTGGAGGTCTCTCCAGCGCCACTGGTCGATCATCCAGTCATCCAACAATGTTTACTGAGCACCAACTGCGTGCCAGGAAATGACCTACACAGTGGGAATACCAGGAGGAATAAGACCCTGTCTCTGCCCACGAGCTGCTGGTGGTCTCACAGGGAGACAGGCAAGATAACCTATGATCATCATAGGAGGTAAGAATGTACTCCGAGGTGCTTCCCTGGTGGTGCAGTGGTTAAGAATCCGCCTGCCAATGCAGGGGAGATGGGTTCGAGCCCTGGTCCAAGAAGATCCCACATGCTGCGGAGCAACTAACCCCGTGCGCCACAACTACTGAGGCTGTGCTCTAGAGCCCGCAAGCCACAGCTACTGAGCCCACGCACCACAACTACTGAAGTCGCGTGTCTAGAGCCCGTGCTCCACAACAAGAGAAGCCACCGCAATGAGAAGCCCACGCACCACAACGAAAGGTAGCCCCCACTTGCGGCAACTAGAGAGAGGCCGCACACAGCAACAAAGACCCAACGCAGCCAAAAAAAAAAAAAAAGTACTGCAAGGTCATTGCAGGATGCTAAGAAATCACAGAGGAGGGGCTCCAAACTCAGCTGGGGCGGGGGTGCAAGGGTGAGTAGGGCTGGGAGAAGGTTTCCCAGAAGCATTTGAGCTTGAAGGAGTTAACCAGGCAGAGGGAATCCTTTCCTTCCCAAAGGACCCCTCACCAGAGCTTTCAGAATATGGTCTCTGAGAATCCAGGTTGACAACTTTAATTAGAACATTGGTGGAACTCCTGAGAAAAACAGGGAGTGCACAGAGCAGTCCTTGATCCTCTGAGTACAACCTGGATAATTCCTGCCTCGAGAGGGACAGACCGCAACCTGGCTTCCCTATCGGTCTGGGTGTTCTTCAACCGCAATCCTAACGTGTTTCTCTGGCTTCGAACCACCCCACACCTTGCAGCAGGAGGGAACTGACATGTTCACAGCAGATCCCGTGAATTACTTGCTTGACCTCACATAATTCTCAAAACAGTTCTCTGAAGTAAACATTGTTATCCCTATTTTACAGATGAGGAAACTGAGGAAGAGGAATGAAGTAACTGACCCTCAAGACAGAGAGCCACTAACCAGGGAAGCAGGGATTCACACCCAACTCCAGAGTCCTTGCCGCCTCTATCTGAGGGGACCTTTATAGTTATCAATCCAAAACATGTTATGTACTCTGAATCTTCACCACCTCAGTACAGCCTTCCAACGTCAGTCATCCTCCTTCTGTACACCACACACTTTTGAACAGGTATCTGTGGTGTTCCTTGTGTTGTACTGTGATCACCCATGTGGCTAAGAGCTCCTTGCTCCCAGGATCCAGTCTCACTTATCTTCACATCCCGAGCCCCCAGCGCAGTGTCTGACACGTCAGGCACAGAAAACACTGAATGAGTAAACAAGCCCGGACTCTCTGGGCCCAAGCAACACAAACTACCCAAAGCCAGGGGAGCCTGCCTTGGAGACCCAGAGGCCTGGGAAACACACCCCACCCTCTTTCACCAGTGCAGTGGACTTCCCTTGGGCTGGGCCCAACCCCCAAAGCCAGCAATCTAGTCACACTGGGGACAGAGCAGGTTCTGTCAGCCAGCTTTCTCTCTAGCACTGGAATAGTCGTGATTCCTCCTTTGGTTGCACACCAGATGCTTGTGTTTGGGGACATGCTGTACAAAAATATGTACCTCTAAACATTAGAACCTTAAAAGGAATAAGCGTGTGCTCCCCACTCTGTCTTTCCCTCTCTGCCAGACAGAGTGCATCCGTGATGGCAGGAGCTAGAGCAGCCAGCTTAGTCCATGAGATGGAAGACTGGGTTTGAGCAAGGAGAGCCACATGATCAATGAAACCCTGTGTCTGGATAACTTCATGGAACAGAGTGAGCTGCCCTGACCAGCTCTGGACTGCCTACTTCCAGTCTGTGAAGGAGTGAGGAATAAATTTCTATTTCCTTTCAGCCACTGTATTTTGGAGCATTTTGGTTTGTACTTACTTAAAACAAAGTGTGAACATTGCCCAGGGATTAACCTAGCATGATCTTTGTTAGTAAAACGACAATAATGTTATCAACATTCTCCCAACCAAACTAACTAGGATTTTGTCATTACTGTATAATTTTAAAGAAAAAGCTATCTTAAAAGGGTGATTTGAATCACATTGAGCCTCGAGAAGAAGGACAAACAAACTGACCTCCTGGTTTGTTTCATCTTTGAGTATTACAGACATACCTCAGATTTCCAAGTAGCCCAGGCTACTCTGTTCTGACAGTTTGTCTGGGGCAACTCCAGCTTGGCGCTCCTCCTCCAGCTCATTACCTGAATCGAAGACCAAGTGGAAAAACTGATGAGAAACTGCAAGGTATCTGCTCCCTAAGAGCTGCCCTTCCATCCACCAAACACAGGCAAATGCAGAGCACTGAGCACTGAGCCTGGCACAAAGTGTTCAGTAAGCGTTAAATTGGATTGTTACTGGCCTGCTGCACGCCAGCCCCTGTGCTGGACATCTGAGACACAAAGATCAATAAAGCCAGTGCCATTCCCTACACTCAGGAACGCCTGCTGCCCGAAAGACATAACACGAGGTCGACAAGCAAAAGCAATGAGGCTGTGTCCAAGTATCATTACAGCGTTAGCATTCCTCCGGGATGTCCTGGACACCGTGCTTCTCATTCCAGACCCTCACCCAGGTGACACATCCCTGCCCGCAACTTCAGTGGCCTTCGCTGGACGCCAGGTCACCCCCGACAGCTCCACTTGGACGTTTTACAGGCACCTACTTTCAACATGTTCAAAACGAAATTTATCTTCCCTCCTCAGACCTGCCCCCCATCCTGCCCCCTATCCCACTGAGCCGCCCCACCAGCCACCAGCCAAACATGTGGAGTCAGCCTGACTCCTCCCTGCCTCTAAACCCCTCATCTAAGTAATCACCCACTTTGGCCAAGTCTACCTCCAAAACATCTCTCCCCACCCTTCTGCCTCTAATCTAACTCAAGTCCACCCTCGTTTCTCACCTGATAGTTCTAGTAACCTCTTAATTGGCCTCCGGGCCCACTCCCTTTAATACGTTCTTTAACTAGAGTGATCTTTCTAGCCCGCAAATCTGACTTTTAAATGGAGTCCCATTAACCTAAAATTTCAAGTCCACAGCTAAGTTTAAAAGGCCCTCTAGGGGACTTCCCTGGTGGTCCAGTGGTTAAGACTCCGGCTTCTACTGCCTCCACTGCAGGGGGCATGGGTTCGATCCCTGGTCAGGGAACTAAGGATCCCGCATGCTGGCGAAAAAAAAAAAGAAAAGTGGGGAGGGCCCCCTAGGACCAGACCAGACTGCCTCTTTAGTCTTACCTCTAATCTCTGTCTCTAGGCAGAGAACTTCATTTAATTATTACACTGGCTTCCCAGCTTTCTCACAAACTCTATCTTCAACTGAGAATACTCTCCCTCTTTCCTGCCCGTGCTCCCCAAGCATCCTTCAGGTCTCAGTTTCCTGGGGAACAGAAGCCTCCCTGGATTCGCCTAGACTGAGTGAGGTGCCTCTACTCAGTGTTTCCAGAGCAAGAACTTTTCTGCTTTTCTTCCATCATATCAGAATTGCCTATGTATCTGTATGTCTCCCACATGAATCTCTGAGCTCTGGGTGATGATGTGGATACGAAAGATAACAGCAACAAACACATACAGCGTTTACTTTGTGCCAGGAAGCATTCTCAGTACTTTACACCTATTACCTCATTTAATCTTTATAACCATTTTAGGAAGCAGATTTTATTCTCAACTCTGCTTTAAGGATGAGGAAACCGTGACAGGGAGCGAGAGACTAACGAAGGACACAGTTGGCAAGCACAGAGTCGGGATTCAAACCTGGCTGCCAGGCTCCACAGTTTAAACTTTTTAACCACTATGCCAGTCCGGATCACTCTCTCTATCCCCAGAACCTATCAAGAGCTGAACCACTGTCTGTGGAACCAACGAATGAATGAAATAATCTTATACAGGGGCAGTGTCGGCCTCCTACACGTCAAGCTCCTCCTAGGCCCTGACAGGCTTGTGCCGTCGGGCCCCGCCGGCCAAAGAGAACTACGCCTGCACCCCGCCACCTCGCGGCCTCAGAACGCCCACCAGCTGCGGCGCGCGGGGTCAAGGGGCGGTGACAGCCGGGCGGCGGGGGCGGAGATGCTACCGGCTGGGGTGTCACCCAGCCCGGAGGCGACTCGCGCTCCCTCGCCGGGACGGCGGGTCCGGTCCGCCCGCCCACTCCCCGCCCGCTCGCCGGGCGGCGCCCCACACCCATTTGCCCCGCACCCTCTTGTCCTGTGGGGTCCCCTCAGTCCGGGTTCCCTTCTCAGTCCACTTCCCTCCCCTCCCCCACACAACCGTCCCCGGCGTCCCGCCGCGCCCCATCCTGCGCCGCCTCCGCCCAACTCCTGGGACTCCTCCGGCCCCGGATGCTTGCTGACCCTCACCTGCCATGTCCTGGACCCCACCGCAGAGGGAGGTGCATCACGGCAGCGAGGAGGCCGGGGACAGCACTTCAGAGCAGACAAAGGGCGCCGCCATGTTGGAGTCGGGCGGAACCGACCTCGCTGGCTTCCCGTCTGCAACTTCCGGCGCATGCGCAGCGTTCGCCCTAGCCGTAGCTCGTGGACAGGCGCATGCGCCTACTGTAATAACAGTTACTTGTACACTTAGAATTGTTCGCCTTGTAACCGTTTCTTGGTTTTCTATTCCAAATATCACAATAACAGCTCCTACGTGTTCAGCGCTTACTGTGTGCCAGGCACTGTGTTAAGCGCTTTATGTGCATTATCTCAAGTCCTCGCACCAACATACGATGTTTTTGTTTCCCTTTTGAAGAAGGGAAAACGGAGTCTCAGGGTAAATGAATTGCCAGCTGTCACGCATCTTGCAAGTGATGAAGCAGAGATGTGAACCTAGTTGTGGCATCAAAGCTGCAGAACCACGATTATGTTTTTCTACTTTCTGAGCCAACCACTGCCCGCTTCCCTGTTTAGAGGAGATCCAGGATTAGCCTGGATGTGAATGAGGGTGCCTGGAAACAAAAGTCTGCCTGCAGACGTGACCAGCCACTCTGTGGCCTCTTTCCAACTTTTCAGCACCTTCAGGCCATTGACTTTTCTACTTCCAAACAGTTCCTCGGCTTTCTCCTTTCTTCACTTCCGACCCTATTTATTTTTCATGATCCATAATTTTAAAAACACTCTTGTCACAATCCAAAACTCCTTTGCTCTTTGTCTTTTTGTCACATGGATTTGGTAAAAATTTCAGCCCTGGGTGACTCCAACTGCTCCTTTTCCCTTTGCTGACACCTAAACAGCCAAACACAATTGGAGAAAGTACCCAGTGGGACAGACTGTTCCCTACAAATCCATGACTGCCAGCCTTAAGAGGGACTTCAGCAAATGTCAATCTGGCCAATTGACTGCTCCTCTCTTCACAATAACTAGAGAAACTAAAAAACTCAGCAGCAGTTGACTTCACCCTTTCATTTACAGGAAAATGATAGCAAATCTGATAGGAACTCTCCTGTCTTCCCAATATTAAGCATGCAAATCTACTTCTGAGTCATCTGTGTTGGATGTAGTCAATTGAGACTCGGCATCCATTCCTTCCAGAATTTAAAAAGTTAAAATTTTATTTCCCAGACTCAGTAGCAGTTAGAATCCCAGATACAGATGGTTCTGCCAGTAGGTAAGATTTGGAGGGTGGAAGAGAGGGAGTAGCCATTGGCCTGCTGATGTTAGCTGATTTTTGCTGACAAGAAAGGTCATGCAAATGTGGGGGGTTGCAGCAGTGCATTGTGGCCAGTCTCCAGCTTCATGAGTGTTCAGAAGCATCTGTGAGATGTTGCCAGCCGAACTCAGCATTCTAGTGCCTGGGAACCAGCTTCTAGTCCCAAATTTAGATCCATGGACCCTTGCTGTGGTGATACGTTCTTGAGTGCAATAATCTCAAGGGTGACCTCTCAATTCCCCATCTTCCTGATTGTGGCAGAAGTAATAGCTCCTAACTGGTGAGTTCAATGGTATTCTGGGAGTCATTAATAAAAGTCCAGTCTAGAGACCATTTTTTCAGCCCCTCCAGTAAGTTTGTAAACATTTAATTCTCTGTATTAAATCCATTTCTAGTTAAAATAAGCTTAGAAACAAGGTAAGGGATCTTTGCATTGATGGAAATGTTCTGTACCTTGACTATGTCAATATAAATATCCTGGTTATGATATTGTACTACAGTTTTGCAAGGTGTTACCATTGGGGGAAACTGGGTAAAGGATGGAGAGGGGGATGGAATTGCTCTGTATTGTTTCTTACAATTGCATGTGAACCTACAATTATTTCAAAATAAAAAGTTTAATTAAAGAGAAAGTCCAGCAAGGTTTCTATTTCTGCAGGAAACTGACGCTCAAAGATGGAAATCAGGGCATTAAGTTTGAAGGTGATGCAGATCTAGTCTATTTCATGCAGGCAAAAAATAGTTACATAACTTACCATTCATCACAATAAGTATTGTTGCCTAGAGGAAAGTGCCTAATGAAGGTAAGGCTGTAGATGGAGCAGTTGCTACAACTGACCATTATGGTGAGAGTGAGGACCACAAGGACTGTGGGGTGAACTGGCTGTTTATAATTACACTGAAGAGTTTCAAAAAAGAAATATTTAGGGTTTAAATTCTCAGCTCAAGACAGAGCCAGAGAACCAGGGCCCACTCCTGATTACTCTAAATATGTTTTCTCATCTCTTATAGCCACAGGGTTTATGCAGTCAAAAATTGGACGGAGCTGATCCTGTGAGTTGCTAAACTCCAATATAATTGCAATGTAAGTTGTAATATAATTGCAGTATAACTGCAACGGGCCAGATGCATTGACTGGGAACAAGGGACACTTAGGAATCGAAATGGGGATGTTTGGGTGGATGCAGATGACTGAGTCCCCTGACTCCCCAAATCCAGAATTCAGTGAAACTCCCATGCCACAGAAGCAGTCCCTCCTCCCATGGAATGGGCTGGTCCTGCTTTCCCTGGAGAGCATGTAATAACCTCATAGTAGGAAGTTATTTTGCAAGGAGATGCTGGTTCCTTTCAGAGACCACTCCACCATCCTTCATTTGTCTCCAGATCTATAAAAAGAGTCTAATTCCAAAATGCCCCAGGGAACAAGCATAGAGTCTGGCTATGGAGATGGTTTACACACAAGAAAGAAAGAAGGAAAGGAAGGGAAGGGAAGGGGGGTGGAAGGAAAAGAAGGAAGGAGGGAGGGAAGGAGGAAGAGAAAGAAAGAGAGAGAGAGAGCACCTTAACTAATAAATGAGCTGAAACCTGGGGAATATAGGTGTAACTGGATTCTAAAGGTGCTAGGTCCAGGAGGAAGGGAGATTACATTAGACTTGGCAGAATGTCTCGGTACAAATGCACATTACAGAGATTTGGGTGTTTTAATGTTCCAGCTGAGAATGGTTCTAACAGCACAGTTGGTTGAATAAAATCTGGACCCCATAGTGGTCTTCATTAAATGACGGTGAGATGATGGAAACTCTTTAGAGTAATAGAGAGGAAGAAGTGCAAAAATTTGGGCAGGGTGGTTGTATACATGGGAGTAAGTATACGTGTGTTGATTGAATGAGTGAAGGACTGACTTTCCTGGTTTCTCACTAGGGGCCATTCCTCCAGTGTATTACTAACTGGCCCCCTCACCCTGAGCTCCTCCCCCTCTAACCCCCTCTTCCCCTTAGCCCCCAGAGTGAGACACAGGTCCCGTCACCATCTCCAAAGTCTCCGGCCTAAACCTCATCCACCCCCTACCCTAAAGTCTTCCCAAAGCTCAGTCACTATTTACACATGGGCTACCTTGCATTTTCCCAATAAGGAGATTATTTTAAACTGGTTGGCCAGCTTGTGGATGTAAACTTGAAGCACTGTAGATAAACTGACAAATGTCTATTTATACAATTTAGTTTATCATTTTGATTATAAACAGCTTAAAAATCATGAATTATATAACAGTGTATTAATTTATAAATGCTACTTTTTTTTTTCTCTGCTCACTTTTCATGTAATGGTTTCCTTTACTCTTCACAGACATCCTCGGCACACATCCTTGACATACACTTTTAAATTCCTTTTCATTTTGAAAACTTTGTTAAAGTACACAAGCGTAGTGAAAGTAATGAAATATTTTCTATACCCCTATTACCCAGATTCAACAGTTAACTTTTGCTAAGTGTACTTAGGATATCCTTCCTTTCTTTCTTTTTTTTTTTTTTTTAAGATATTGGGGGTAGGAGTTTATTAATTAATTAATTTATTTTTGCTGTGTTGGGTCTTTGTTTCTGTGCGAGGGCTTTCTCTAGTTGTGGCAAGCGGGGGCCACTCTTCATTGCGGTGTGCGGACCTCTCACTATCGAGGCCTCTCGTTGCGGAGCACAGGCTCCAGACGCGCAGGCTCAGTAGTTGTGGCTCACGGGCCTAGTTGCTCCGCGGCATGTGGGATCCTCCCAGACCAGGGCTCGAACCCGTGTCCCCTGCATTAGCAGGCAGATTCTCAACCACTGCACCACCAGGGAAGCCCCTCTTTCTTTTTTTTTTGGCTGCACTGTGAGGCATGTGGATCTTAGTTCTCCCCACTGACCAGGGATGGAACCCGTGCACCCTGCAATGGGAGTGCGGAGTCTTAACCACTGGACAGCCAAAGAAGTCCCTATCCTTCCTTTCTTTTTTTTTTAAATTTATTGAACATATTTGTTTTTGGCTGCGTTGGGTCTTTGTTGCTGTGTGCAGGCCTTCTCTAGTTGCGGCGAGTGGGGGCTACTCTTCGTTGCGGTGCGCGGGCTTCTCATTGTGGTGGCTTCTCTTGTTGAGCACGGGCTCTAGAGCACAGGCTCAGTAGTTGCGGCCCACAGGCTTAGTTGCTCCGCGGCATGTGGGATCTTCCTGGACCAGGGCCCGAACCCGTTCCCCTGCATTGGCAGGCAGATTCTTAACCACTGCGCCACGAGGGAAGTCCCTGTGACATCTCTTTCTAACCCAGCCAGGAGAAGGTCTCCAATTATAAGGACTAGTGTGATTAGATTGAACTCACTCAGATAATCCAGATCAATATCCCTATCTCAAAGTCCACACCTCTGATAAATATATATATTTAAATAAATATATATTTGGTCTTCTGGTTCCTGGCACAGAGCTCCTAACAGCCTTGAAATTTCCCAAGTCAGAAGAGTGAAAAGGGTGTCTTTTGTTATGTAAATGAGGTGACTTTTGGAAAGCCCCTGTGTCACCTAAGAATGTGGGCAGGAGAACCAACCACGTGATTAGAGGGTTGGAACTGGCAGTTCCACCGACCCACTGACCTCTGTGATGTGAGCGGGGATGGAGACTGATGGCCACCAAAGGCCAGCGATTTGATCAGTCGTGCCTATGTAACGAACCTCCATTAAAACCCAAAAGAACAGGGTTTGGAGAGCTTCTGGGTTGGTGAACACGTGGAGACTGGGAAAAAGTGGCGCTCTCAGACAGTGTGGAAGCTCCTAGCCCTCCACACATACCTCGCCTGTGCATCTCTTCCTGAGTTATATTTTTTTTTTTTTTTTTTTGCGGTACGCGGGCCTCTCACTGCTGTGGCCTCTCCCGTTGCAGAGCACAGGCTCCGGACGCGCAGGCTCAGCGGCCATGGCTCACGGGCCCAGCCGCTCCGCGGCATGTGGGATCTTCCCGGACCGGGGCACGAACCCGCGTCCCCTGCATCGGCAGGCGGACTCTCAACCACTGCGCCACCAGGGAAGCCCAGTTATATTCTTTTATAACAAACTAGTAATCTAGTAAGTAAAATGTTTCTCTGAGTTCTGTGATCAGCTCTAGCAAACTAATCGAATCCAAGGAGTGCATTGTGGGACCCTCCCATCTGTAGGTCAGAAGCACAGGTGACAAACCAGGACTTGTGATTGATGTCTGTGACAGGCAGTCTTGTAGGACTGAACTCTTAGCCTGTGAGATGTGAAGCTATCTCCAGGTAGGTAATGTCAGAAATGAATTAATTGGTTGGTAATGTGGAACAAAACAAAACAAAACACATCAGAACTGGTGTCAGAATTGGAATACCCTTAATCACACCTGCAAAGATGCTTTTGCTGTGTAAGGTAACATTTTTCACAGGTTCTGGGGATTAAGGCATGGACATCTTTGGGGTACCATCTTCTACCATACATACTTATTTATAGTAGTACTACTGTTTCTGTTTAATGAAGCCATACCAAGTTTCCTCTTGTGGACAAAGAATGTCACCTGCCATAACAGTAAACAAAGGATGTTGCAGCCATCAGGCCACCAGCCAATGCAGCCACCCCAACAGTGCAACCTGAAGGGATCCAGGATGGAGAAAAACAGGATACTGACCCTAGGTAAGGTGGAGCCCTCATGATGGGGTTAGTGCCCTTGTAAAAGGGACCCCAGAGAGCTTTCTTGCACTTTCTGTGAGGTGAAGACACAGTAGAAAGACAGCCATCTATGAACCAGTAGGCAGGTCCTTACCAAACACTAAAATCTATAGGCGCCTTGATCTCAGACTTCCCAGCATCCAGAACTGTGAGAAACAAACGTTTGTGGTTTAACTTGCCTAGTCTATCACTGCTTGAACCGACTAAGACATGGACATATTGTCAGCAGTATTCCATATAGTTCTTAGGTAGGAAAGAAGCAAAACTGAAAACAACTGAAAACTGGGAATGCAGCCAGAGAATGACTGAGGTTTGGGAAACTGAGGCCTGGATGAGAAGGTTCCAAGGCTTGTCTCAAGTGAGGAAGCAGCTGGAGTTGGAGGAAACAGCATCTGTTTGGTAGAAGGCCTACCTCCCAGTGACCCGACAGCAACCCTGTTGACATAACCCCGTTGATCAAAGCAATCCCCCAACTGCTCCAAGCCAGTTCCTGTGGCTCGTGGTGGAATTCACTCAGCGGATCCGGAGCTGGTAAATATAAAACGTTTGGTCCTCGGGTGGGAGCTGCATCCTGGAAAAGGCTGCTGACAACGGCTCCCTCTGCCAGTGCTAAGCCAGGCGCTATGGAATCAGTAACAGTCCCAACAGAAGACCCCAGGGACCTGAGAGCCTGCCCCAAAGTCAGGGGCCTGGAGACGGGCTTGGAGACTAGCTCAGGTAAGAGGTGGCAGAGGGTGCCTCAGCCCTGAAGCTGAGGGGGCTGGGCAGGCTGGGGGGTGCTGGCAGCAGAGGGCAGACACCCTCCCCTCTGGGGCCACCAGGATTCTCAAGCCATGGGTGGGCTTCAGTTACAGTTGAACCTTGAACAACTTGGGGGTTAAGGGCGCTGACCCTCCACGCAGTAGAAAATCCGCCTATAACTACAATCAGCCCTTCGTATCTGAGGTTCCACATCCACAGATTCAGCCTACTACGGATTGTGTAGTAATTGGTATTTATTGAAAAACATCTGCATGTAAGTGGACCTGCAGTTCAAACCCGTGTTGTTCAAGGATCGACTGTATTTCCTGTGTTAACTAACCTACCAGCACAGAAGCTTCCTTCTGAAGCCTGTGCCGTAGTGAAGAGCACGTAGTGAAGAGGATGGATTTGTTTATTATGTGGGTAACTTGAAATGTTACTTTTCTAAGAGCACAGGCTTTGGGTTCAGAGAGACCTGCTCTGGCCTTGCTTCACCGATAAATCGATTGACTGGTTCTTGGCTTCTCCCCGTTTGGCGGGGTGGACAGAGCAGGGATCCCCAGGGCAGAGGGGACCGATGGACAAGATTATGGGTGGGGAAGGAAGAACAGCATGATGTTCCCTGAGGACCACCAACATCTGTACAAGCTGAGCCTGAGTTTCCTCACCTGTAGAAGGCGGCCGGGGGTCTCCTCTTACTCCTCACTACAGTGCGGCCCGTGGACCAGCAGTACCGGCATTCCCTGGGAGCTTGTTAGAAACGCAGACTCTCAGGCTCCACTCCAGACCCGCTCGCTGTACCAGAATCTGCATGTTCACAAGATGCTCAGGCAGCTCGTGGGCACAGCGGGGTTGAGAGGCTCTGATGCAGTGGCCTCCATGTTCCTGGAAGGCAGAGAGCTGATAGGGGGAAGCCAGGTTTAAACTCAGGTCTCCCCAGTGCTGAAATCCACGCTCTTAGGCCCCGCTGTCTTCCCATCTTTGTGCGTCAACTAACACGCAGTTAAATCCCTGTTAACTCTACTCAGTATTCTGTAATAACCTACACGGGAAAAGAATCCGAAAAAGAATGTATGTGTGTATATGTATAACTGAATCACTGTGCTGTACACCTGAAACTAACACAACATGGTAAATCAACTACACTCCAATATAAAATAAAAATTAAAAAAAATCCCTGTTGAATGAATGAACAAGTGAATGAACACATGAATTAATGGAACCATATCCCTTTCAGTGCTAGCACAAATCTTTGGTCTTTTCCTTCCTTCTAGGTGGAAAGCCGGCCCGCCATCAGAAGGCCATCCCCAAAGCTCACTTAACTTTCGTTATCGACTGTACTCGTGGGAAACACATCTCCCTGGCAGCACTCCCAGGGCCACCCCGCGTCCCTAGTCCCAACTTAGGACCTGTCATCCCTCCAATGAAGACTTACATCTTGTTATGTGGGGAAAACCGGCCCCCCCATATAAATCAGGAGGCTCCCCTAGGTGGGGGAGGCCTTGCCCAGACCAGGGGACCCCTGCCACCCTGCAGAGAGACTACGGCCCCAGATTCCTCCCCAGCCAGCCCACTCTGCCTCCAGGGGGCTCCTGAAGCCAAGGGGGGCCCTGCGAAGACTGTGTCCTCGAGGTCTTCAGCTTGGGGAACGGTCATCGTCTCGCTCAAAGCCCTCTCCTCCTGTGTCTGTGCGCAGGCTGATTAACTGGAAGAGCCTGGCCAATGGAGGAGAGGGCTGGCAACCCACGCTCCAGAGTTCAGCAGATGCAGTTCCCAGGGTTCACTCCCTCTTCCCCAGCCAAGCAGAAGTCTTTTGTGCCTGAGCCAGGGAAGGAGCATTAGATCCCTAAAGGACATCTGAAACAGCCACGAGTATCCTACTTCTCCATCCTCTGCATCTTTGTTCACCTTTCAGCGGAAGCAAGATAAGGCAACGCCACATAGAAAGAGACTCATTCACTAACACAGCAAATTCTGAAGGAGCATCTCCCACATGCCAGGCCCTGCAAAGTGCTAAAGAAGATACTACAGCTTTCTTGGAGCTTGTACTCTTGGGGGTGGGGAAGAAAGGTTAAACAACCTAATAAAGATGATTTTGAACAGTGTAATGAGTGCTGTGTAGAAACTGAAACAGGGGGCTGGGATGGAAAATGATAGGGCAAAGAGCTTTTCTAATACACTGATTGGGAAAGGCCTCTCTGAGTGGGTAACAAAGTATGATCTAAAAGATGAGAAGGAGCCAGCACTGCGAACCATACTCCCTAGGGTCACCTGGTTGGCATCTCATCCCAGAGCAGGAGTCAGAACCTCCCAGCACAATGGGCAGGGGTAGCACATTGCCTGCTGTCAGCTCACGTGCAAGTGTGTACGTCACTAGGGATCACCCGGAGGGCACAGGACTCAGGATGGGAGAATCAAGGGCCCAGGTGGGATGGGAAGTAAGGGGAACTGGCTTCTCAAGAGGGGGCAGAAGTGCTCAGAAAGGGAATGGAGTATCATGTTTGAATGAATGAAAATAAGAGATATTATTTATTGAGCTGCATACCAGGATTATACTGCCCTCTAGGGATACAGAAAAGGGGGCTGGGGGCTTTGTCCCTACCCCGCAGGGCAGTCCTGTCCTCAGCAGGAAGTGGGGGTTGCTGTGAGGGGAGGTGTAGGTCTAAGAGATGCACAGAGCTGTGTGAGATTCATCTGAGGAAGAGTGTCTCAAGGCTCTTGGATTAAAATTGCTGAATGTTCATTTATTCAATGACGGTTTTACTAGGTTCCTACAAACACTAGTGGCTAACATGTACTGACCATTTGGTCTGTGCCAGGGATGTGACATCCTCCAAGTGTCAGTACCGGGAAGCACTGTTTTGTACCCATTTCACAGATTAGAGAATAGAGGCACAGAGAGGTTGAGGAATGCACTCAAGGTCTCATAGACTAGTGCAGTTGGGATTCGAACCCAAGCCAGCCTGGTGCTCAATTTCTTGCTCTTAACTGTAGAGCAGATGGCCTCTCATCCTGGCAGGGTCTCTTCTAAACAGAGGGGATCTAGAGAGAGCAGACCCTGTCCTCAACGAGCTCACAGCCTGGTGGGGGAGGCAAGAAGAAGGTGACTATTGCAATAGCTTCTGGTAAGTGCAACAGTAAGGGCACAGAGAATGATGTTGGTGCTGGAGGAGGATGCCCAGCCCATTAGGGAGAGGAGATCAAGGAGGGCTTCCTGCAGGAAGTGGCATCTAAACTAAAATCTGACCAGTGAGTGAATCATACAAAGGCAAGGGGGCCGGGGTGGGGAGTGTTCCAAGGAGAAGGACCAAAGTTATTCAGTCTGGCTGGAGTATTCATTCACTCACCAAGTATTTGTTGGGCACCCACTGTGTGCTACTCTCTGGGCTAGACCCTGGGATGGAGCAGTGATAGACAGACAAGACCCTGCCATGAAGGAGCTTATCCTCCAGCTGGGGGAGACAATGCATGTACACACTCGAAGCAGAGAGGCCAGAGAAGTGACAGGGACCATATCATGTGAGGCCTTGCAGGCCACGATGAGGTCTTTGTTTTTTGTTTGTTTTTTGGGCAGCGCTGCATGGCTTGTGGGATCTTAATTCCCCCATCAGGGACCGAACCTGGGCCCCCCGCAGTGAGAGCACGGAGTCCGAACCACTGGACCGCCAGGAATTCCCGAGGTCTTTTTATTTTATTCTGAGATGGGGATCGTTGGAAATTGTGAGCAGACAGCAACATGACCTACCTTTAAAAAAATTCCTTAGCTCTTGCGCTGGGATAGGAAGGCAGGGGAGGAAGCTGAGGAGGCTGCACCTTAATCCAGGCAAAGGGGGTGATAGTCTGGATTAGGGAGGTGGTGAGAGAATAGTCTGGACCACATTTACCCACCTCCTCTTTCCTCCCCCTGCTGAGAATCACTGGACTAGAAAAGCCCAAAGACGTCGCTGCAAAGGGAGTTTGAGACCCACAAGGAAAAGTGTGGGGCTGCGGGTCTAGCTTTGCGCCAGTAGGTGTCGCCCTATCATCAGAATGGAGGCACCACCCCCTGGTCTGGGTGGGGAGGGCGGGAACCTGCGCGCCGAGGGGCCGGCGCCAAGGGGCCAGCCATCTGGTGCGGTCAAGTTTTCAGAAGCCAGACTTTCATTCTAACCAGAATCCCTCTCATCTAGAAAAATAACTACTGATATTTTTATGTGCACCACCTCAGTTCTTCTCACACTAGACCCAGGAGGTGGGTATAATTTTTGTTGCCGTTTTACAGGTGAAGAAACTGAGGCACAGAGAGATGAAATGATTTGCCCAAGGTCACCAACTAGAAAGAGGCAGAGCCCAAATCCCAATCCCAAGCAGTGTGACTATGTAGTCATAGCATCATAACCCTGTACTGTGCTGTAGGTGCTCTGTTCATGTGTGTTGAATGAGTGAAGGAAGGAAGAATGAACATTCTCCAAGGACCCAGCCTAGGGCCTGGCAGTGTGTAGGGAGTGTTTGGGGGTCGAACACGTGAGTGAGGCCCTCACTGAGCTGGGGGTACGCAGGTGCAGGAGAACAGCTCAGTCTCTTCACCACAGTCCTGTGAGGTGCTGTCCCATTTTACACATGTGGAAACTGAGGCTCGGGTAGGTTAAGCAACTGGCCCACGGTCACAGATAGTAAGTGGCAGAGCCAGGGTTGAAATGGAGGTAGTTCGCCCTTCGAGCTTTACCTACCCACAATACTGCAGGAATTTACTGAAAAACTGTTGAGAGAATGAATCAACAAAGAGATGAAAGACTTTACTGAACCAGTGAGTGGAATGTGTGAATCAGTGAATGTGTTTCCAGGTTGGCAGTTATGCCTAATCAGGACTGTGTCCCCAGTGCCCTAAAAGTGCCCGATACATAATAGGTGGTCAAGAATTGTGTGGGAAGGAAAGAAGTAAGGAAGGGAGGGAGTGAGGGAGGAAGGAAGGAAGGAAGGAAGGAAGAAAGGAAGGAAGGAAGGAAGGAAGGAAGGAAGGAAGGGGGGGATGAAGGGGCAGATTTACTGTCCTGCTCTCTCCTCTCTGGCTCCCTGGGGCCAGCAGCCTCACTTTGTGCCCTTCAGGGAGGCACCTCAGAGGGTCCCCACTCGGTCTAGCAGCCCTCAGGCTCCCATGGAAGGTTGACCCTGGGTCCAGGCCCTGGAGGGCCTCAGAGCTTAGGACTGGCCTGGCTGGCTGCCCAGCGTGAGCCCCAGGCCAGCTGTGCTGACTGTAAACAACACCTCCTCCCCTGCCCAGAGGCTCCTGCTAGCCGACTCAAGTCACCATGCCCCTCAGGACCCTCTCTTGTTTGAGGGCAGAGCCAGAGGGTGGAAGCTTGGTTTTCCCTGTTCAGAAAACAAGCACAGAGATTTTAACAGGAGCTTAGCATTTATCGAGCTTATACTAAAACACCATCTCTCTCTGGTTGCTCACAGCAGCCCTGGGAAGGGGTTACTTGATCTTTGTTTGTGACGAGAAATTAAGGCTTCCAGGTGCTTTTCTCCCCCACCTCTACCACCAGGACCCAGACAGGTCTTCTGAGAGGACCCTGGGGAACATACCTTTTAGCTCCGCCTCACCTGCTTTTCCTGGAAAGAAGACCCCAGGTACAGGGCAGCTCCTCTGCCCTACCAGCCCAAGTCTTGGTCTTTTTTCTTTTTTAATTTATTTATTTGGTTGCACCAGGTCTTAGTTGCAGCAGGCAGGCTCCTTAGTTGCAGCAGGAGGTCTTCCTTAGTTGCAGTAGGAGGGCTCCTTAGTTGTGGCTCACGGGCTACTTAGTTGCGTCACGAGAACTCTTAGTTGTGGCATGCATGTGGGATCCAGTTCCCTGACCAGGGATTGAACCTGGGCCCCCTGCAGTGGTAGCACAGAGTCTTAACCACTGTGCCGCCAGGGAAGTCCCCCAAGTCTTGGTCTTGATGGAGCCAGAGACAGTGTGGGTGAACTGGGGGTGTCAGGATCCAAATCTAAATGAAATAACAGGGCTCTAAATGAGCCCTTCTGGGCATTTTCAATGCATGGCATATGTGGGCTAGAGTCAACCACCATGTGCCAAGCCCCTTAAGTGAATTACAGAACCACCACAGCAGGTAGATCCTATTAAGCACCATTTTATGGTGCAACGGAGGCACAGAGAGGTTAAGTTACTTACTCAAGGTCACAAAGCTCAGGAGCAGCAGAGCCAGGATTTGAAGCCAGGCGCTGTGACTCCAGAGTCCGCAATTGACCCTCCACCCTCTACTGAGGCCTCTTAGCTTTTAAAAAAATTCTACAAACATTGACTTAGCTCCTTTCCCATGCCAGGCTTGGGAGCAGGAGGGCAGAATAAGGCATCTTCTGCAATGGCAGAACTGGGATCCAAGGCAGACTGGGAAGAGGATGGAGGCAGGGGGGAGATGGAGGGGTACAATGTTGGAGGTGAGTCAGGGAAGGGTGGCCTGGGGATGGGGGGTTGGTCTGGTAGAGAAGCTCTGGCCTGCAGTTCTAGAGTCCTGGGTCTTCACCTCATCTCTGTCACTGACTTGCTGTGTGACCCTGGGCAAGATCCTACCCCTCCCTGGGCCTAGGTCCCACCATCAAACCATGAGGAGTTTGGAATAACTCCCAGAGGACACAGGGCTGGCCAACCAAGCCTCAGGGTCTGCCCTCACTCCCAGGCATGTGCTCCTTTCATCTGAATTTGAGCTTCTTTTAAAGACAAGTTTTGGACCTAGGGTTCTTTGGGCTCTGTCTGTGACTCCGAGCTGGTAGCTCTGGAGGGCTTTCTGGAGGAGGAGGCTTTTGGCCTGGGCTAGGACTTTGAAAGTGATGGAACCTCCTAAGTCCTCCACACCCCTCTGGCACCACCTGACCTGGACCTTCTTGCAGGTCTCTAGCCCTAGAAGGCTGCATCTTTTCAACCGCCTCGGCCTCCTGCCCACCCCCACTCCAAAAGCTCTAAGATGTAGGAGTTCCCCTTCCCTATACAGGAAGGGAGCAGGGGAGCTGCCTCGGCCCTTTGGTGGTGGGGGACTGATCTGGGGTGACCCAGCAGAGGACCTTCTAGAGTCACAGACAATGATTCAAATTCCAGCCATACCACTTCTAAGCTGGGTGACCTTGGGCCAGTTGCTTGACCTCTCTGAACCTCCTGTCCTCCTTGGTACCTACCTTGCGTTTGTGATTGTTGTGGGGATGAGCATGTGTTTGGCACACACTAGGTGCTCAATGGATGGGGCTGCTATAATCATTCTTCACGGGGCGGGGGCGGGGCCCAGGGCCCGCAGCCAGGCCTATATTTAGCCTAGAAAGTGTGGGGGGCCAGTGGAGACAAAGCGTGGCGGCCAGCCCAGGCGCCAGGAGGCGGAGCCAGCGAAAGAAAGCCTGCAGTCCCCACGTCCCCGCCCTCCTCTTCCGTAGGGTCACCTTGGCAGGAGGGCACCTTCACTCTACGCGTGCCTAGTCCCCAGCGGCCGCTCTGTCCGCGGCGCAGCCCTCATCCTCTAAAACCGGGATCTGGGGAGGGGGCTGCTGGGGCCTGCGGGGTGGGGAGTATTCGGCCCCACTGGTGACTTAAGGAAATGCCCCCTTTCCCAGCCCAGCTTCCTGCCAGCCCGGCCCAGGGAGGGACGCCACTGGGGTCGGGACGCCAAGGTGAGCCTGACCCCAAGTGGGGGTCGAGGGAGGGGGAAAGCTGGTCCGGCTCCTCCCCGCAACTCCTCGCCGATGAGTGTCGGGCTGCAAATAGCCCAGTGGAATCAGTGAGTCACGGAGGCTGGAAATACCGCGCCCCCGCTTCCCTCCCCTCCTCCCGTCTGCACAGAGCTGCGCGGAGGAGCTCCGCGGAGGAACTCCGATTTCAGTAGCGCCTGGGGGGGTGTGTGTGAGTCCCTCCAAAGGGTACTCAGACTCCCTGAACCAGTCAGCTTCCCAGCCAGGTTTCAGCCGGGCTGTGCCCCTGGGGCTGTGTGACTCTAGGCTAGTCACTCGGCCTCTCTGGTCGTCAGAACCCATCTGGTACGAGATAGGCTTCAAGAGCAACCCCGTGCAGCTGGTCCAACTTTGGTGTCCCTGTGCCTGGGACAGTGCCTGGCAGGTAGTAGCAGGGGTTGGCAGTTGGAAGAGAAGGCGATGCAAGGTTTTTCAGAGAAATAATTCCCAGATTATTGCCCTGGTGGGCCTGGGAGCCAAAGGAGGGGGCCGAAGGACACCCACATTTCTGTGAGGTCTTGAACTTTGCTTGAACTACCACCCCTGCCCCCAAATCTCAAGAAAGGTATGTCTGTTCATCCCCGGCCTTCGCACTCTGCTGCCTCCAGCCCCATCCCAAGTTTGAGAACTTCAGGCGGGTGTTCTCCAGAAGTCCATGATTCTGTTGTTTATTGTGTGTGCAGGGTACAATGCCAGAACCCTCCTCTGCGCCCCCCACCCCGAGTCATTTCCTAAGGGCCCCAGAATGGCAGGGATGAGAGGGCACCTTACAGAACACTGACCAAAGAGGTGCAGGGGGCTGAGGCTGGCCTTGCCACTTGCTCCGGGGGCCCTGACTAACTGGGAACCACCCTTACCCATCACCCCTGCTTCTGTATGTGGGAGACTGAGCCAGGGTCACGGGGGGCAGTTGGGGCTCCCCAGAATGAAGGCAGACGGGAGGTCCTTGCCCTGGACTGGGGACTGGGAGGGAACTGGGGTGGGGACTCTTCCTGTGATTAGGACATTCTCTAGCAGGAAACTGTGGGCACAGGGTGCACAGGCTGAGAGGCAGAATAAGGAGAACTACCCCCCATTGCACGGAGGGCTGGGAGGGCGGTTTGAGAGCAGCTTCTGACATTGTGGGTTAAAATCCAGCCATCAGAGGTTAAGCTGGGCGCTCAGCTGTTCAGACTCTGTCCCCATTGAGAAGAATGGAGTTTGCAAATCTGATTTTAGAGCATTCCAAATTTGGCTTTAACCAGTGGTAATGTTTAGTATTTGAAGGACAAAGATAAGTGTGCACGTGCGCACGTGCATGTGTGTACGCCTGTTTGTGTGTGTGTGTGTGTGTGTGTGTGGTATACACACACCAAGCCTATAGCTTCGCGGATTATAGAGGACAGGATGGGGGAGGTGAATGGCCACAGGGGAAGGTTGGCAGGAAGCTGGGGTCCTACCTTGAGGACCCAAAGCCCCATGCATGCTTCCTCTGCTGGGTAAGCTGTCTGCAGTGGAGGCAGCCCCGGGAGCCCAGGTCTCTGGGTGGGAGGGAGAAGGATTAGCCCCACCCCTTGGCCCAGGCTTACCTGGGGGCATATGAGCAGGTAACAGACGGTTCACACAGTTTATCACGAACCAGCTGTATTGGAAAAACCCCATCTATATACAGACACAGTGTGGCCCTGCGCTGGCACAGCTGGCTGGCTGGGGCACCTTGTGGGCAGACAGCCTGGCAGCTGGTTCGGGACTTGGAGGGCAGCATAGGGGAAGCAGACCATCATGGCTGTCTCTGGCCTCCTTGTGCCCGGGCAGTTCACTTTCGCTGGGCACCTCTGCCTGTGATCTCCCTCTGCCTCTCCCGCTCCCCTTAGCCAAGGGGGTCCCAGGTCCCCAGTCCCCCTGCCCCTGCCCTGCAGAGACTCCATAGATCAGAATTTGTCTGTCTGTCCTGCAGATTATTTGCCCAGAGATCCTGCCTGTCCCAATCCCCCTTCCCCAAACTGGCTTCGTCGGGATCTCCTGTTCTCCATCCCAATCCCTTTATTCTGGATTAAGTGAACGAGGCCATATCTGGAATCTGGGCGCCACGGGTGAAGCAAGGGGGTCCCTGGCCTGCCCTGGGTAGAGCAGAAGGCCACATTTGGAGGGGATGACCCACCTGGGGTCTGGGGTTGAGGTGTCAGGGCCTGAACCTGGGCTGAGATGTCCCGGAAGCTGTCATGAGGGGGTCAGGAGAGCCACCCTGGCCGGCCAGTGGGGGAGAAGATGGGGGAGCTGGGGGAAGGGAGTGGGAGGCCCTCAGATTTTTATCTCGGTCCGGAAGATCTGCTGGACGTGCTCCGTGTGTGGTTGGCGCCGAGCCCGGATGGTGAGGCTGCCGTCCTCCCGCAGGGCCGAGGTCACCGACGTGGGGTCCACGTCCTCCGGCAGTTGGCACTTGTGAGCAAAGGTGTTCATGACCGTGCCGTCAGCTGCCAGCTGGGGAAGGGGTAGTGGGTCAGGGCAGGCTGCCCCCCACCCTTGTCCTGCTCACGTCAAGCCACAGCCCCTGCTCCCCAGTCTAACCCCAGCCGGGCCCCCTGTGCCGAGGGGTTCTGCTCTCAGGTGCAGAGGCCCGGTCTAGGGGCTGGCCAGGGCTGAGCAGGGACAGGTGCCGAGGTGCTTAGAGGAGCTCCAGTGGTCCTGGGGGAGAGGCAAGGGCTTGGTGGGGGAGCTCAGATGGGGAGGAGACTCAGTGGCAGAATCTGGGGCTCCTGAGCAGCAAGGAGGTGGCACAGAGCAGAGCTGAGCCCTCTTGGATACCCGGATACACGGTGTCTACCGTCAGGGCTCGGCCGGCGGCCCCTCCTGCGTGACTCAGCCAGCACATAGTGTCCAGAGGAGCCTGGGGCGGCTGAGTCACTGGTGAGGGTGGCAGGGCTGGCACGTGCTGCCCACTGGTCCTGGTGCGCACAGTCCTTGGCTTCCCTGAGAGGCGCCCCTCGGGCATCCAGCCTCCTGTGCCCAGGGGAGAAAGCCAGGCCAAGGGGGATCCAGAGGCAGCCTTGGGCTGAGCCTCTTCCCTAAGGAGCAGCAGTGGCTCTGGCCCGCTGGGGGCAGCATCCCTGTGCAGCCAGGGCCACACCCTCCTCCAGGGTGCAGGCCTCCTGGGAGCTGGGACTCAGAGACCCTAGTGACCAAGTGACCCTGAGACCTGTGGGTGGAGGGAGTGTGGGGTTTGGGGTGTGTGTGACCCTGAAGTGCAGGGCCTCTGTGCAACCTTGGGCCTAATTCAGGGGTCCAGAGGTGAGGGTCCAGCGAGCCCCCCACCTCTCCAGATGCCCACAGGAAGGGCTATCCTGCCTCAGCCACGATCTCCCTCCTCTCATCTCCCTTCTCACCTCCCTGCAGCATCCCTCCCCCCCCCCTCCCCCATCCCCTGTGGCTTCCTCAGCTGCCCTGGACTCCGGAAGAAAGCATCTGGGAGCCTGGTGCAGAGAGAGGCAGTAACGGGGGTCCCGTGGCCGACCAGCTACAGGAGCGAGGCCTCTAGTTTGTCCTGGGGGTTGGGGGGTACTGGGCAGGGTGCAGGGTCCCAGGATGAGTGGGGACACGGGGCAGAGGGTACAGGCGTGGGGCCCAGGGTCTGGGGGCAGGGAGCGGGCTCACCTTCTCAGCTCGCACCTCGATGTTGTTGTTGGAGGTGGTGACGATGATGTCTTCAGGTGAGAAGTCGCTCACGTCCACGGCAAACTCATAGGCATCTCCCAGGGTCTTGATGTTGCCCTGCCCCCCGGGACGGGCTGTGGGGAGGGCTGGCACTCAGAACCCAGGTCTCCGGCCCCCCCCTCCGGAGGGAAGGGGCTGGCCGCCCGGGCCTGAGCTCCCCCTCAGCCGTAGCTGCCACCCTCCCTGCCACCGGCCCTCTTGCAGCACACCTTTTCCGCCTGGGGGGTGGGGCCTTACCCAGCACAGGTGGGGCGGTGTGTGTATATGTCTGTAGTGACCCACCCCAGGCCTGGAGTAGGGGTGCATGTAGCTGAGCCCCAGGCCAGAGCTGTTTCTTGAAGGCCTGCCTGTTCTCACGGCCACATCTGTCTCTGTGGCCGCATCTGTCCCGGTGGTCACCCGCGGCGGCAGCTGTACGGCACCTGCTCCCAGCAGCTCGGCAGCTGCAGCCACGGCGGGGGGTGCGCTGGAGCAGGTGTCCCCTCCCTGGGCGCCTCCCCTCCCCACGGAGGACTTGCCTGGGAAGGCCAGGGGCTCCGAGTGGGGCCGCATGAAGCTGCCGAAATCCTCGGAGAACATGCTCAACGCCTTCTCCATGGGTGGCTCCTGGGCGGGAAGGGTGTGGGAGGCTGAGGAGGAGGAGGAGGAAGAATGGAAGCTTCTCTCCGCTCTGAAGGTGGAGGAGGTCCTGTGGCTCATCCACGGGCGGGCGGCCGGGCCCTGGCCAGTGGGCAGGGTGGACAGGAGGGCGCGTGGGCAGCAGGCTCGGAGGGAGCGTGCCGGGCCCCGGCTGCCGCCGCTTTATAAGGCCCGACCGTCCCTGGGCGCGGGGCCAGCCCCTTGTCTACCAGCTAAATTTAGTCCTCTCGGTGGCCCAGAGGGGCTGGAAATCTTCTCCAGTGAGACGGCCCTGCTGACAGTCCAACACAGGCAGGCCCAGGAGGCTGAGCTCACTGCCCGGCATTCCAGGCCGATAACTCCAGCCCTGGAGCCTCCCACGGCAACGAGGTGGGGACCCACGCTGTCCCCTCACCACTCAGACCCCTGGGCCCACCTCAGGACCTTGTGTGTGTTCCGTGTTTCTGTGTCTCCCCCACCAGATTGCAAGCTCCTTGAGGACAGGGTTTTCTCTCTCTCCATCCCCTCTCCCCCAGAGTTCCAGCCCTTGGGGAGAGGGATCTAGGTGTGGGTGATCAGGGCAGAAAGGCCCAAGCCCCTGGCTCTGGGGAGAGTGGGAGATGCAAGGTCAGGAGGTCAGGGGTGCATGGAGGACCCGCACCTGCTGGACCCCTGTGTGAGGCGAGGGGTTCCCTCCCTCAGGGCAGATAATGTTCACAGCCATCTCTTAGGAAGGACTGAGACAGCCCCGGAGGGGGGTATAGAATGTGCAACTGTTCCCCTGCCAGCTCCCACGGGGACCCAGATTTCATGCTTACCTCCCTCCCCACCCCCCACCTCCCAACTCTGGAACAGTTCGGGACCCAAGAGGAGAAAGCTGAGGCCGGGCTGGGGCTTGGGCCTGGACTCAGGGGAGGAGAGCAGATAATTTAGTAATGGTCCTTAACAATATAGAAGGTTATGTTCCCAGGAAATGTCTGCTTGACCTCCAGCTCAGAGGAGATGCTGGGGGTGGCAGCGGGCAGGGTCTCAGTCAGAGGTAAAGGAGACTTCCGCAAGACAATCATTCTAGCTCTGACTTCTGAGGTGCCTGCTGGGCACCGGCTCCTGGCTGTGAGCTCTCCAGCATGGCCTCATTTGATCCCCGCACGGCTCAGGAAGGAGATGGTATTCCCATTTTATAGATAGAGAAACAGAGCCTCACAGAGAGCCTGGGGCTTGCACACGCACAAGTGGCAGAGCTGGGATTTGAACCCTGTCTTATCTGATCCAAACCCTCCAGGAGGCCAGGGTGGCCTGAACATTCGTGTATGGAGACAGTCTGGTCCCGAACGCCCCTGAGAAGCACCTCTGCCCATGCACAGATCATGCGGGACCAGGGGATGAAGCAGGGAAGGCCGTTCTGGGAGGCCGGGGGGTCCTCTGCTGCCCAAGTTGCAGTGTGGGGCCTCTGCTCCCCCCTCCAAATCCTGCCCTTCCTTCCCAGATCAGCTCCGGTTCCTCCTCCTCCATGGAGCCCTCTCTGATTGCTGCAGCCCACACAGGGGGGCCTGCCCAGATGCCCGCTGTACCAACTGGCTTTGCCTACCCCAGCACCTGAGTGTGACATGGTCCTCCTGGGTCCTCTCTCCCCTATCAGACTGGCAGTTCCCTGGGTTAGGGGTTCGCCTGTCTCCCCGTTAGATTGGGGGCTCCTGAAGGTAGGGACTGTTTCTCTTTTCTCTGGCTCCCACAACACTTCCTCCCTGCGGCGGTGGGCGGGGGGGTCCATCAACACGGGTAACCACTGGTGCCGGTAGTCTGTGAAGTGGGGTCAGGGTGGTGGCTGGAGCCAAAGGGGTCTGTCGGTCTGTCTAGTGGAGATTCCTGCCTGGCTTGTGTCACCCATCCTGGCCGACGGGGTTCCAGTAGGGCTGCCAGGAAGTTACCAGCACTGAGGTGAGGTGGAAAGAGGGTGGGGTGGGGGTGGGGGACCAAGAAGCCTGCCACCCGCCAGGGAAACAGGAGCCAGTGGCTAAATGCAGACACAAGGTCACGGTGCTGCGGGCCTGAGTCACTGCTCCTGGACGGCAGACCTCATTACCCACCCCCGCCCACCATTCCCGCCCCCGCTTACCCCGTCCCTAAGGCAGCACCCACACATGCACTGGATCCACTGACTTCAATGGCCGGGAGGGAGCCTGAAAGGTCATCAAGGCCGTTCCCCTGTCTCTGTACATGTCTCTCCTTTCAGATCCCAGGGACAGAAGGAGCTTCAGAGATGATCCAATGCCTTGAATCCCATACCTGCCAGCACACCCCAATCACTTGGAGGGACTTTCAACAAACACAGACTCTTCTCATGTACCCCAAGATTCTGATCTGGGGTCTAGGGAAGGGACCAGGAATCGGCTCCCATCAGGTCCCCACTCAGCCAGCCCACAGGCCAGTGTTCGGAAACCACTCATCACTCAGCAGGTATCTACTGAACACCTGCTATGTGCCGGGCACCGTTGAGGCTCTGGGGGACTCGTGATGAACGAGACAGAGATGGGGCCCTGCCGCCATGGCTCTCAGGCTCCCCTCATTGGACAGAAGGGGAAACTGAGGCTCCGAGTGGTGAAGGACCCATTAGGGATGGGAGAGCTGCTCGGGCATCAAGCTCTCACCCTTCACTGCTTGATGCGGGAGAGGGAGAAGCTGGGGGCTGGCATGAGGGGGAAATGGCTTTGGGAGGGACTTGCCACCAGCACCACGTCCCTTTGCTTCCCTCTTCCCGGTTTCCCGATGCTCACAGGGCCGGAGGTGAGGGTGTGAACGTGCGGTGCTGGCTGGCTGGCCGATGCTGGCTATGAGTTGGAGTGAGCAGCTGCCCGAGACCAGAGACGGGTTTGGGATGTCAACAGGGCGGCCAGTTATCCTGTTACTGTACACAGGTTGGGGCAGCCGAGGCAACGGTGGGCCCAGGTCCATGCAGAGCAGCAAGCCCACAGCCCACCGCTCACAACACACACGTGCTCCCAGTTGGGAGTAACTTGGCTGACATCTAGGGGCAGAGGGCTCCCAGTTGGGAGTAACTTGGCTGACATCTAGGGGCAGAGGGTGGCTCAGGGCCTCAGGATTTTAACAAGTCATTGAAGGGCCATCATGATTTTCAGAAAGGGGGCTTTGTCTGGAAGAGCGGGGAGCGGGGGGCGGGTGTTGTCCCAGATCTCTTGCCCAAATCTTCTAAAAGTGGTATCAGGCACAAATCCTCTGCTTTGTGCCCAAACCCTTGCCCTGAAGGCTTAAGCCACAGGTGCTGGAGGAGCTCTGGGAAGAGGGAGAGCCACAGAATCGAAGTCTGGGTTCAGCCTCTGCTTTGTGACCTTAGAGGAGTGACTGCACCTCTCTGATCCTCCATTATTATCTGCAAAATGGTGATACTGTGCCTGACCCGCAAGGGTGCTGGGAGGATGAACTGGGTTCCAGACCTAGTGTGCACGTTCCTACATTCCGTTGGGGTGGGACAGGGTCTGCGGCATTTACGCAGAAGCCCCAAGCAGAGCCACTGCCCATTGGGTGCTGTGGTTTGAGGCAGTCTTCTCAGACTGGAGGGTCTGGCCATGAGGATCTAGCCCAATTCCCTTCCCCCGCTCCAGCTCGTCGGCCCCCTCCCCAGCTCTGAGCAAGGCAGGTCTTCAAGGCAGGACCTCGGAGAGGTGTGAAGCCTTTGGAGTCAGGCAAACCTGGATGGAACTTTTGACTTTGTGCCTCAGCCTCTGTGACCCTGGGCAAGCAAGCAGCCTCAATTCTCCGAAGCTCCGTTTTTTTATTTAAATATTCATTTATTTATTCATTACTTATTCCTTTATCTTGGCCGGGCCGTGTCTTAGTTGTGGCACTCAGAATCTTGGTTGTGGCACGCGGGATCTTTAGTTGCAACATGCGGACTTCTTAGTTGCGTCATGTACGGGGGATCTACTTCCGTGACCAGGGAGCAAACCCTGGCCCCCTGCACTGGGAGTGTGGAGTCTTACCCACTGGACCACCAGGGAAGCTCTGAAACTCCATTTCTTTAAAATGGCCTAATACTGCCCACCTCGCTGGGTTTCTCTGAGCACTCACTGATTTGGAGGAGGGTTGAGCACAGTGCCTGGCATATAACAAAGGTGCAGTAATGATAGCACCCCTCCCCTATGGGTCCTTCTCCTCTTCCTTCTCTGCTCTTTCAAACCCCTCCCATGCCCAGCTCTGAGAACCCAGGGCCCTGACCTTCAGCCCCTGCAGATGACCCCTCACCATCCTGCTGTGTCATGAGCTTCCCCCTCCCAGGCCCTGTGTACCCCAGCCAGTAGCTGGGTTGGGTGCCACCCGCCTCTGTGTGGCTCTGGTAGGTTGGGGAGCCCCTGCCCCTCGTCCCTCCTGGCTGCTCTGGCCTGCACCACTCAGCTGGCCGGGGCAGTTCCAGTTGGTTTGTCAAGGACATTCTTAATGGCCAGGGTAAACCCCGGCGGGGTGGGGCGGGGAGGAGGGGGGGCCAGGATGTTGATTGGTGGAACACACACCTGTCCAGGTGCACCTGAGCTGCAAGCAAAGGAGTCTCTGTCAGAGGAGGGCTGGCTGGGGCCACAGCAGAGCGGACTGACAAAGGTGAGGGGCCGCCGGGTGCAGAGCTGGGGCAGGGACTTGGATGGAACCTGCCAGGACCAGGGCAGGCAGGGCAGGAGCAGGAAGCTGGGGGGCAGGGAGCCAGCATCTCCTTTGGACCCTCACGGCTTCTCCTTCTGGGCCTGGGGTTTTCCTGACTCTGGCCTGAGCCGAGGGGTTGGAGGCTCAGGGATGGGCATGGGGAGTCAGAGTGGTCCATGGGGACCCCACCGTGAGACAGTGACTCCCCTGGGCAAGGAGACTGCTCTGAGCAGCGGGAGCAGACAAGCGTCCAGGGAGGGTAGGAGTGGCAGCCACAGGATGGGGAAGGGGGCTCTGAGCCTGGGGTGCGGCCTTGATCAACCTGCTGCTGGACATGTAGGGGACAGCTAGGAACCACTGCCCTCATCCTAAACATTAACACACACACTCGCACCCTCGGGGTCACCCCCTCAGGAATGAAGGCACACCAGACCCACGTCCCCTCCTGAAAATGCCACCTTTCCCTTCTATCTGGGAAGTAGATATTGGAAGGGCCCAGTGGCTGGGTAAGGGCGTTGGAGCAGCTCACCAAGGGTCCGTCTGCCTGTCTACTCTCTCAGGGGCCTGATGGAGGAGCTGGTAGGGCTTCGTGAGGGCTCCTCGGGGAATCCTGTGACACTTCAGGAGCTATGGGGCCCGTGTCCCCGCATCCGCCGAGGCATCCGAGGTGACAGCTAGGTTCCCTTCCGCTCCCTGTCGAAAACCCCTCGGGACATCACCCTCCCTGGGTCCGCCTCCCCACCCACCTTGGAGCCCAAGAGCTGCCCCCATCCTGGGCGGCAGGGAGGGTGGGGATCTGTCTGCCAGTCTGTGGGACAGATGTGCTAGAGGTCTGCTCTCTGCCTTTTGGGAACGCAGCCCCCAGGCCTGATCACTCCGCCGGGGACCTTGCTAGGGGCCCAGTGGGTGCTCTCTGGCCTGACACCAGGACAGCCCCACCGGTCCTTGGACCACAGAGCAGTCTCTCTAGACTCTCGTGTCCTCTAAGCTATGTCCCCTGCGGAGATGCTGGAGAAAGTGTAGTTTCCAGCTCTCCCTCCACACCCTGCCCTCTCTGTTATTCTTCCATAAGTACCTCAGGAAGGGGCAGGGGTGGGGAGGGCGGGTAGGTCAAAGGCTCCCTCCTGGCGGGGCCAATAGGTCTGGCGCCCACCGTGCTTCCACCTTCACTTGCACAAATCCTGCTGTCTCTCACGTGAGGCAGAGCCCCCTCCCAGCTTCCCTGGATTCGACCACCTGGCCCCAGCCCCACACAGCCCCTGCCCCCCGCCCCCGCCCCGTGCCCTCACTGGGCCCTGGGCTACCACCCGATGCCCCTGCCCCAGGTGGCCTCGAGGGGTTGAAGCAGAAGCTGTTCCGCATGGGTGAGGACTGGTACTTCCTGATGACCCTCGGGGTGCTCATGGCCCTGATCAGCTACACCATGAGCTTCACTGTCGGCCGTGTGGTCCGAGGTAACCCCTCCCCGGCATGCACGCCTGCTCTGGACCCGGGGCTTTCGAGCACGCTTTCGGGATGCCAGATGGGCCGCCAGGTGCAGCGGGGGTGGGGGAGGGCTCTGGGTGGGGAGGAGGCCTGGGTCTGGTCCTGGCTTTGCTCTTGACTTGCTGTGTGACCCTGGGCAGGCTCCTGCCCCTCTCTGGGCCTCAGTCTCCTCATCTGCCCAATGAGTGAAAGACCAAATAGTCCTTCTTCCTCTGAGCTCTATGCCCACCGCTTCCTGCCGCCCCTGCTCCCTTCTCCTCCCTCCTTGCTCTCAGCTCAGTAACTGTGGGGGAGAACACTTGTCTAGACCACCAGGCATAGAACGTTCTCTCCCCATGCTTTGGCAGGCTCTCTCCACCCTGAGGTCTCCCTGGAAGAGGGGGCACGGGGCAGGAAGTGTCTAACACACCTTCTCTGGCAGACTTGCTCAGGTGGGATTACGAGGACCTGCCATGCACCAGACCTCATCTGAGAGCCCATTTGACAGATGGGGAAACAGAGGCTCAGAGATGTTGAATGGCCTGCAAAAGGTCACTCAGCTAGGGAGTGGCAACACTGGGATGTGATCCAGGGTCCTACTCTTGCCTCCTCTTGGGGATCTGCCACTTACTGGGTGGTCCTGGGCCACCGCCCTCTGAGCCTCCATTTCCTGGCCAGCAAGTGGGTGCCTGAGGGCGGCAGAGCCCGTGGATGGCTCCCTGACTCTCAGCTGTCCCCAGCACACAAGTGGCTGTACCGGGAGATTGGGGACAGCCACCTACTCCGGTATCTCTCCTGGACCGTGTACCCTGTGGCCCTGGTCTCCTTCTCCTCAGGCTTTTCCCAGAGCATCACGCCCTTCTCGGGAGGTAAGCCCATTGCCACACCTTTCACCTGTTTGCCTTGCCCCTCGGTGCCCACCGCCCAAAGCCTTTTCCTGTCCTTCGGGGCTCCTGATGGGGGGAGGCAGGAAACAGTAACCCCACTTCACAGCCAGAGAAGCCAGGCTCAGAAGAGTTGTGTAAGTTGCCTGAAGTCACACAGTGAGAAGGACAGATCTTTTTTTTTAAATAAATTTATTTATTTATTTTTGGCTGTGTTGGGTCTTTGTTGCTGCGTGCGGGCTTTCTCTAGTTGCAGTGAGCGGGGGCTACTCTTCGTTGCGGTGCTCGGGCTTCTCATTGTCGTGGCTTCTCTTGTTGCGGAGCACGGGCTCTAGGCACGCAGGCTTCAGTAGTTGTGGCACGTGGGCTCAGTAGTTGTGGCGCATGGGCTTAGTTGCTCCGCGGCATGTGGGATCTTCCCGGATCAGGGCTCGAACCCGTGTCCCTTGCATTGGCAGGCGGATTCTTAACCACTGCGCCACCAGGGAAGCCCCAGAAGGACAGATCTTGCTTGACTCGGGTCACTGTTGGCTCTGCTCCCTTTCTGAGGGCTCCTCTGGGCCGGCACCATGGCTCCCCAGGGAGGGGCTCACGGAGGGGCGCATCTCTTCCAGGCCTCTCAGCTCTGCTTTCAGCTCCAGGCCAGCCGCACAGGGGAGCTGCAGGGATGCATCTGGGTGGCCTGAGCTTCTCTCCTAGGTTCCCCCCATCCTGCAATAGCTGACTGGCAGGACCAGCTGGAAGAACGTAGGCAATTCACATCCCCTCTCTGACCCGCAGCTTCCTCATCTGCAAAATGAGTTTAGGAATCCTAACTCACAGGGTTTAGGAGAGCTGATGAGATCACGATGTGAAGCCCTGTGCAGGGTAAAGCGATAAGGGTTTATCTAGATATCGTCCCTCCTCTTCCTCCCGACCCCCACCCCGTCCATCCATCCCCTGCCAAGGTTCTGGAATTCCGGAGCTGAAGACCATCCTGTCGGGCGTGGTCTTGGAGGACTACCTGGATATCAAGAACTTCGGGGCCAAGGTGGTGGGCCTCACCTGCACCCTGGCCACGGGCAGCACCATCTTCCTGGGCAAAGTGGTATGGACGGGCATGAGAGCACCCCACCCCGTCCCACCCTGCCCTCCTGCCCCCTCTGCCTTTTCTCCATCCCCACCGAAGCTAGGTCAGGGGGAACTCAGGCCAGGGCCTGCCTTCGCAGGGCTGAGTCTTGGGGAGGAGACAGGCCAGGTCCCCAGAGTATGACAAAGGAACTGGGGAGATGGAGGCATAGGGAGTGGGTGGGACGGCCGAGCTGTCTCTGGATGAGGCTCCCTCTACCCCCAACCCTGGGCCCGGAGCGGGAGGAAGGAGAGAAGCAAGGGCCCCGGCTCCCCTCAAGGGGCGGACCCTGTGCCCTGTGCGCACACCTCCTCTGGCAGGGCCCCTTCGTGCACCTGTCTGTGATGATCGCTGCCTACCTGGGCCGCCTGCGCACCAAGGCCATTGGGGAGTCTGAGGTAAGGGGCTCATAGGCCCCCCCTCCTCGGAGGAAAGAGACGGAGGGGAGGGCGGGGGCTGACTCTCAGCGCGGGACTCCGGATCCCCCCAGAACAAGAGCAAGCAAAACGAAATGCTGGTGGCGGCAGCGGCGGTGGGCGTGGCCACAGTGTTCGCAGCGCCCTTCAGCGGTGAGGCCCTCCCCCTGCACCCCGGGCTCCCACCCCCGGCCCCCAGTCCCTCCCCTGGCGGACTGACCAGCTCGCTCCTCCGCCCAGTGGAGGAACCCGCAGGGAGGATGGCGGCTAATCTGGTCTTGGTTGTTACTTCAGTCTTACCGGGAGGGCAGAGCCGCCCCAGGGTGGAGGTGGGGGTGGGCGTCGAGATGCTTCACGGTCACATTAGACAGACTTGGGTTTGAAACTCAGCTCGCCTTGCGTGACCCTGGGCCGGTGAGTTCAGTCCTCAGCCTCATTTCCTCATCTGTAAAATGGGGATTGTAATCGTCCCCATCCCAAAGGCTGTTGTAAGGTTTGGGATGGCCGAGAGGAGCGCCTACAAGCCTGTTCCCTAGGCAGGGGGCTCCCGCTCTGCCCTCCTCTCCCCTCAGCTCAGGACCAAAGAGAAGGGGTGGCCCTGTCTGTTCGGGCTGTGGGAGAGCAGGACGGGAGTGGTCAGGGCGCTGGGATGGGCGTGGTGGTGTCTGTCGAAGCTCAGTGTTGCCCCCAGGCGTCCTGTTCAGCATCGAGGTCATGTCCTCCCACTTCTCGGTCTGGGATTACTGGAGGGGCTTCTTCGCTGCCACCTGTGGGGCCTTCATGTTCCGCCTCCTGGCTGTCTTCAACAGCGAGCAGGGTGAGCCCCGCCCTAGACCCTGCCCCCTGCCCCGCCTTCCCTCCCTCCTCCCTCCTCCCCCCTCCCCTCCCTTCTCCCCTCTCTCTTCCCTTTTCCCTCTTCCTCCCCTTCCTCTCCCTCCTCCCTCCTTTCTCCTCTCTCTTCTCTTCTTCCTCTCCGCTCCCCTCCTTCTACAAGTGTGGAAACGAATTGACCTGGATTGGGCATGAAGGATGGGAGCCCCGAGGGTAGAAGGGGGAGGCAGGGCCAGGGAAAGGGTATTTGGGGGCAGGACGTGGCAGCACCTCCACTCCTGCCTGTTAATTCTGAGCCTTCGGTTTGGCTGGGGTAGGAGTGTGGTCCCTGATCCCCACTCCCCTCCTTTCCCAGAGACCATCACCTCCCTCTACAAGACCAGTTTCCGGGTAGACGTCCCCTTTGACCTGCCAGAGATCTTCTTTTTTGTGGCGCTGGGGTGAGTGGATGACTCTAGCCCCTCAAGAGCCCAACTGGGGGCCTCCCCCAGGCTGAACTGCTGCCCTCGGTTCTGGCGAGGGGCTCTGGACTCCCCTCCCCCCCCTGCAGGGCCATCTGTGGCATCCTGAGCTGTGCTTACCTCTTCTGTCAGCGAACGTTCCTCGGCTTTGTCAAGACCAATCGGGTCCTCTCCAAACTGCTGGCCACCAGGTGGGCTCTGAATGGGGGCCAGGGACCCCGCAGGGTGATGCCCCTAGACTCTCCTGAGCCTTATATGGAGATCCCCACCCCTCACTAACACCCCTGTCCAGGTCCCCATAGTAACGGCTCCCCCACTTACTAGGCTCCCAACCCCAATATTTGAGCCCTCCCTCCCTCACTAACCTCCCTCCCCCTCACTGAACCCCTACTTCCCCGTGGAGCCCCAGGCCCCTTACTGAGCCCCATCTCCTTCCCAACCTTGTCTGCCCCCTGGCGTTGGCATTTCAGAATCAGCCCTCCTCCACCTTGGCCGGTCCTGCCCTGGTCCCACCTGCCTGGCGGGCAGCCCGCCTGTGTCCCAAGCTCTCCTATGAGCCCCGACCCCTGCTTACCCGAGCGGTGTGGGGCTGACCCCCACCCGTCCCCTGCTCCTGTGCCTCTTTCTCCCGTCCCTGCCTCAGCGTCAGCCAGCAGGGTGGCAGCCCGCTCCGTGGGGTGGGGGGAGGGGAAGAGGACGGCTGGCACTGGAGCTGGCCCTCCGCCCCCACCCCACAGCAAGCCTCTGTATTCCGCTCTGGCGGCCTTGGTTCTCGCCTCCATCACCTATCCCCCTGGCGTGGGCCGCTTCATGGCTTCTCGGGTAAGGGGTGCTGAGCTGGGGTGGCCAGAGGGGGGAATGCCCAGTCGTTGTCCAACTTGTGCCCATCATCTCAATCCCCACAACGCCTATAAGGGGATGGCTGTGCAGCTCCAAGAGGGCCAGAGCCCTTCCCAAGGTCTCCCCCCAACAGGAAGTGGCAGATGAGGATTTGAGGCAGGGTCAGGCAGTGGGGGGGGGGGGGGGGGGGGGCAGGGACTGCTGCCCGGCCCTCACGCAGAACTCCAAGCTGCCCCCTTCTCCAGCTGTCCATGAGGGAGCATCTGGACTCACTGTTCGACAATAACTCGTGGGTGCTGATGACCCGGAACTCGTCCCCACCCTGGCCCTCGGAGCCCGACCCACAGAACCTATGGTTCGAATGGTACCACCCGCAGTTCACCATCTTTGGGACCCTCGCCTTCTTCCTGGTTATGAAGGTGGGCTCCCGGGGCCCCCAGGGATGTGCGCAGAGCTGAGGCCAGCCTTGGGTGGGATGGGGTACCTCCCCATAGCATGTACATAGCGCAGGGCCTAGGCCTTCATGCAGACTCCCTGGCCTGACCTCTGCCCGCTGTGTGGTCCTGGGCAAGTTGCTTCAGCTCTCTGAGCCTCAGTTTCCTCATCTTTAGAACGGGCTAGTTACTGTGCTTACATCAAGGAAGGTTGAGAGGGAAGAAAGGAAAGTCCCTGGCACAGTGCCAGGCACACAGTAGGCACTTTGCCAGGGTGGGGATCCTTCCCCTGGGCACACCTTCTCTCACACCAGATACTGGCGATGGGCATGTGCCTGGGCATCCTCCTTCTCCCTGGGAAACCCCCCTGCCCCCTGTCTTGTCCCTCCCTTGCCTACTCTTGTCCAGCTGCCTCTAACCTCTGCCCCCTCGGTTCCCGCCACCCACAGTTCTGGATGATAATTCTGGCCACCACGATCCCCATGCCTGCTGGGTACTTCATGCCCATATTTATCTTCGGTGAGTCTGGGGTGTTGAGGGTCTGAGAAACTCAGAGTTATCGGGTCAGGGCCATGGCTCCTGGTCCACCCACTTCCCCAGGATGGTACTGAGGTTGATCCCCAGGGATGGAGGGCTGTGGGGACTGGGTCAGCCTGGCTCCCTGCCCTCACCCTAAATCTGCGACCAGGAGCTGCCATCGGGCGCCTCATAGGGGAGGCCCTCTCTGTTGCCTTCCCAGAGGGCATCGTGGCTGGAGGTGTCACCAACCCCATCATGCCTGGGGGGTATGCCCTGGCAGGTGAGTAAACCGGGTTCCCACCGGACGGGCAAACATCGTGGGTCTGGGCTGGACCCGGAGAATCAGCCAGTAGCTCTGCAGGGCATGGGGAGGTCATTAGCCTCCCAATGAGCCCCACCCTTCCCTGAGCCCTTCCCCTTAGCCTCCATTACTTTTTCTAGCTCCTGTCATGTCCCTGGTACCCCTTCTTCCTTACTGCTCTTTCCCTCACCAAGCCCAGGCATAGGGCACTTCCAACAGTGGCCAATGTGTGGCCTCTGGACAATTCCCACCCCAGCCCATGGCCATAGTCACAGCAGCCTTGCCCTTTGCATGAAGCTGTCTCCTGGCCTGAGCCCCCCTCCCTGGCTCTGCCCCCTGCAGGGGCTGCGGCTTTCTCAGGGGCTGTGACCCACACCATCTCCACAGCATTGCTGGCCTTCGAGCTGACTGGCCAGATCGTGCACGCACTTCCTGTGCTGATGGCGGTGCTGGCGGCCAACGCCATCGCCCAGAGCTGCCAGCCTTCCTTCTATGACGGCACCATCATTGTCAAGAGACTGCCATACCTTCCGTGGATCCGGTGCCGAAAAATCAGGTGAGCGGTGTCTGCTCAGGCTGGCTGAGGTGATGGTGTCTGGGTGGGCTGACCTTGGACATGGGTGAGCGTGGGAGGGGCCGACACATGGCTGCTCCCTAGTCTCCATTCTCGCCGGCTCCCTGTGTGACCTTGGGGGAGTCCTTGGCCTCAGTGTCTTACTGGTCATCAGTCGGTCTCCACAACAGTAGGACAGATATTGCCCATTTGTCAGAAAGTGGGGCTCAGACAGGTGCCACGTCTTGCTCCAGGTCACACAGAGAGTCAGCGCCAGCTCTGGGAGGCCCCACCCCTCCCCCTGCTCCTGCTCTGCTGTCCTCACTGGGGTGTTGGGAGCTGGAGGTGGGACTGGAATACTGCAATGGAAACGAGCTTTGAGGTCCTGACTCAACCAGACAGGGCCAAGCAGCCTCTGTCCCCAGAGAAGCAGGACTAAGAGGCTCTGAGAGCCCTGGGTCCAAGGCCCAGCTCCAAACATGTGCAAGTTGCCCCCTTCTCCAGACTCAGTTTCCCCATCTGTTAAATGGGAGTGGTTACTCCCGTGATTTTCAAACTTTAAAGCTCTTTTTTCCCTTTATGCCATAAAACTTTTCTTCAAATGAAATTCTCCAGCGACGGCTTCTGAATAAAACAGGTCAAAGTAGAGCTGGTCTGGGGGGAGATAGGGGTCCAGAGGGCATAGGCCAGCTGGTCCCCAGGTTCCTCCCTCCCTCCCTTGGGGTGCTAGGAGCTGTTCATCTCAGGAATCTCTTAGACCCTGCCCACGCTGAAGAACTGGCAAAACTCCTCCCAGCTTGCCCCAGCTTGTCCAGGGGTCTGGATAACCCCCCACCCCAGGACCTGATGGGAGCATCCCTCTGCCCCAGCTCTCACCATGTAATTGTGGAGCACTTCATGAACTGTACCATCACCACGCTGGCCAAGGACACACCGCAGGAGGAGGTGGTCAAGGTCGTGACCTCCACAGACACTGCCGAGTACCCCCTGGTGGAGAGCACAGGTGCCCGACAGGAAGGGGGAGCACGAATGGGGAGGAGGCATTCCCTCTACCTTCCTCTTGGACCTGGGAGGGTCAGGCCCAGGAATGGGTAAGCAGGGCATTGTACCTATCAGGCACCTGGATCCAAAACCGGGCTCTGCAACTGTGTGACCTTGGGCAAGTCACTTCACCTCTCTGAGCCTCAGTTTCCTCATTGGTAAAATGGAGGTAATAGCCATCCTACTTGCGGAGCTTAGTCCTACTTACATCCTACAGTAGGATGATGGGAACACTACTAGGGCCTCCCAGAAGGCTCCTTCCCTCAGTCTCCCCTTCAGGCATTCCCCAACTGAGTCACCTCCCTCAACCCTGTTGCCATGAGAAAGACATCCTTTTAGAGAAAAATGAGTGGGGGCCCTTGTTAAAAGACACATAAGCTGAATTTTGGGAGAGGACCTAGCTAGAGCATCATTTCCCTCTAGGACAAGTACAGTATGAGTGGGAAAGATAAGCTGGGGGGTAGGGAGGGGACAGCCATGCCCCACTCAGGGCCACTGTCAGCCCATATGTCCCCTTTGTGCAAATGAAACAAAATGCACACTTGGCAAGCACGGCACAGCTGGATTTTGATCCCCACTTGTCCTTTGGGCAGGTATCTTGTGCAGTGAGCAACCTGCACAACCGTATGGGTCATCCCCATACCTACCCCAAGAGGCATAAAGCTATTTATGAGCAGCAGAACTGTAGTAAATCCCTTAAGCTCTATGAACTGCAGTTGCCACATCTGGAAAATAGGGAGGACAGAGTTGTCAGAGGTTCTCATCCCAAAGGCCAGGCCCTTCTCCCCACCCACATTGGAACACCTATAACATTATCCCACAGAACACGCCAAATAGCACACTTGAAAATACCTGCACGTGGGTGACCCCTCAAGAAGCTTCACAAGACAGACTGCTAGAACAAGACAGACTCCACTTCTACCCTTAGAGCCACAGGAAGCAAAGAGTTCCCAACCAGCACAGGCCCAGCCTGCGGGACCCTGCTGCTCATCCGAGAAATAGCTTTAATTGTTTTTGTTTTTAAACAGGGAGCCTTTGTACGTCCAGTTGTAAAGTTTTTATTTTACTGGACAAAAATCAAAACTATCAGGCTGTCCCTCAAAGCTAAATACCTGCAGACTCCAGTGATACCCTGCAGTGAGGCTCGCCAGGCCTCCAGCACACAGGAGGACCTCAGGACATGGCGGCCTTCCAGGTTCATGCCTTCACTGGGCTGAGCCAGTGCAACTTCCTATGGGAAATGAGGGACAAAGCCCAGCCCTGACGCACAGACAGTTTCATGCAGGTGTCCCAGACCTGCTCCTGCCTTGAGGCCCTGCCAGGTGGGGCATCTTGGGGTGGGCAGGTTACCTCCCGGCCCCCTGGCAGCCTTACCTGGCCACCCTCAGCTACCACTCCTCCACGTCAGAAGCTGAGTGACCTTGGGCAAGACAACTAATCTCTCTGTGCCTCTGAGCCTCGGTTTCCTCTCCTGTAAAATGGGTGATAATAGTTCCTGACCCATAGGTGCTGTATGTTCCCGAGAGTCATGAGAACACCCAGCACAGTCCTTGGCACATCGTAGCAGTCCAGTAAACGTAAGTTCCTTTTTCATAATGTGGCTTTTTTCCTCTCCCTCTCCACTTGTCCAGAGTCTCAGATACTGGTGGGCACCGTGCGAAGGGCACACCTGGTGCAGGCCCTCCAGGCTGAGCCACCCTCCCGGGTTCCAGGACACCAGGTGAGTGCTCATATGAGGTGTGAGTAGAGGATGGGGAGTCAGCAGGGTTGTGAGGGGAGTGGCCAGCTGATAGCCTGTGGTTTGAGAGGGGCTGCCTGGGGAAGGGGGAGCTGTCCCAGGCCCCCATAACCCTTCCCCCATCCCCAGCAGTGTCTGCAGGACATCTTGGCTGGGGGCTGCCCCGTGGAGCCAGTGACCCTGAAGCTGTCCCCGGAGACCTCCCTGCACCAGGTAATGGCGAAATTTTTCGCTGTGGGCAGACAGGGGCCCTGGGATAGAGGGGAAGAGCCTGAGAGGGAAACTTGGCTCCAGCTTCCCGGACATGCTGTGTGGCTTTCTGTTCCTCCCGGGCCTGCTTCCTCACCTGTGGAATGGGCATGCAGTTCCTGCCCTCTCTGTCTCTCAGTTCCAGGGCTGTTGGGATGATGCAGAGACTAGGGAAGAGGGAGAGCTTGGGAACCAGAAGATTCTGGATGGAAAGAAACAGTGGTTAAAAATAGGTCTTTTCATCAAGGCACACGTGGGTTTCAATTTCAGGTCTACCACATTCTGCCTGTGTGATCTTGGGCAAAGTACTTAATCACTCTGAATGCTGATCCCCTCCCCCCTGCAAGCACAGAGCCTGGCACATGGGTCATGGAGGGACAGAAGCAGGTTGGGGACCTAAGGGTGGCCCCAACCCCTCTGTACCAGTGGATGATGCCAGATGATGCTGAAAAACGGGTCCTTTCCACTAGTCCCTTGTGTGGACTCTGGGGACCCCTGGTGGTCACATTGGACATTGCAGGCCCAGGTCTTGGTCTCCCACCCACCATCACAGCTGTCCAGCCCTCCCAGGCTCAGAAACAAGGTGGGGTGGGCACCACTGGGACAGAGCCTGGCCCGGGCCTTCACCTCTGCTCAAAGCTGCCAAGCTAGGAAGAAACTGAAGCCAGAGGGTTCGGGTGGGTGCCACCTATCCTCCAGTGTTTCCTAACCGCACCCCCTGCAGGCACACAACCTCTTCGAGCTGTTGAACCTTCAGTCCCTCTTCGTGACGTCTCAGGGCAGAGCTGTGGGCTTCGTGTCTTGGGTGGAGGTACCATGGTCCCGAGGGTGGAGCAAAGGGGAGGAGCCATGCTCGAACAGGCTGGGGAGGTGGGGGGGCACCAAAATTCTGCCATCAAATTTGGAGGGGCCTTGGGACTTCCCTGGTGGTCCCGTGGTTAAGATTCTGCTCTTCCACTGCAGGGGGCGTGGGTTTGATCCCTGGTCGGGGAACTAAGATCCCACATGCCGCACAGCGTGGCCAAAAAAAAAAAAAAACTTGGAGGGGCCTCATGGGATTCTGATGAGCCTCACTTCCTGGCCCAGAGTAGTCAGCCACTTGGTCCAGCTACCTCTACCTTATTTTGTGGCCAGCCCTGCCATTCTCTGGGCCTCAATGATCTGATCTATGCAATAGGGAGGCACTGGCTCTAAAATTCACTCCAGAATCAACCCTTAGGGGAGTCAAACTATACTGGCGCCCCCCACTTGCAATCTCCTCTACATCCTCCCCACTCTGTTCTCTGTTCTAGTTGAAGAAAGCAATTTCCAACCTGACAAACCCTCCGGCCCCAAAGTGAGCCAGCCTGGCAAGATGAAACAGGGCCCCTCAGCTGCCCTGGTGACGGAGATGGGGCAGAGACCCTGCCTCTCTCCCCCCCCCATCATAACGCACCCCTCCCCTCCAGCCCAGCTCAACTCTTCGGCGAAGTAGGCAGCTAAGCTAGCACTGAAGAGGCCCCATAGTCACCACGTCCCATTCTCCATGAAACAAGTGCTACCTGCCTTGAAGGACAAATCCCCCTCTGGACAGAACTCAGAACGCAAGACAGCAGAAAACCAGCATATGGTGGGTGTTCCATGAAAGAATCAAATTCACGAATGAAGACATTGGGATATTCTGTCGCCAAGGGCACACAGAGATGCCCTCTGAGGGTTGTATGACTCCCAACCGGAGGCTCCTGAGAAAAAATAAAGCTGATTGCCAGAGCCGTCTGTCCCTCATCTCAGCATCCAGGGTGTTATCTTGCCACCTCAGCAAGGCCACATTCGCCGGCCCTGAGTGAGCTCTTGGGGGCCCCCTGGTGGTCATGTGGGCCTTGCAGGCCTGGGGCCTGGTTTCCCACGCCTCCTCATGTCCCCCTTCCTGGCAGGGAGTTATGAAAGCAGGTTCCCACCAGGTCTTATGATGCCTGTCGTCATGTGTGAGCACGACCCTGTGGCCCAGTTTCCCTCACTCCAGCAGCCTCAGCCTCCTCCTTGGCTGAGCCAGGGTTGACACAGCGGGGTCCCCACGTGTGGTTCCTTGGAGAGTCCACAGAGCCTTAAGCATCCTCCACGGGGACCCTCCTGGCTGCTGGCAGCAGGTTGACCAGCTGTCTGTGTATTTTGGGGTTAGGGGCCCTCTCCAAAGTCCTTCTAGAGCTCCCCCCGCCAGGGCCTGAGGACATGCCGTCCCCAGCAGAGACCAGGCCAAGTTCCTCCAGGGTGAATCCACCACTTTAATGTCTTCAGAGAACCTTCAGGGAGATGGGAGGAGAGAGCAAGGATGGGGGAGCAGGGCACCAGGGAGCAGATCCAGAGAGTGACGGACAGACAGACACTCCAGAGACAGAATCCTCGTGAAGAGCACTAAGGAGCAGATGTTAGGTACCCCAAGAGGCCGCCCCGCCTCTGGTGGGGGGCAGGAGCACAGAGGGGAGGGGCGAGGAACCGAGCCCGGGGGTCGAGGCGGGTCTCCCAGGCCCCTCCGCGGTTGTCTGCCTGGGAACCTGGCTGTGGGCCCCTCTGGGCGGCCTGCCTGCTGTCTGCTGAGAGTCCTTGAGCTCGCTGATGGCAGAAACTGCAGGGGAAGGTGCCCGCCTGAGCCGAGTAAAGAGGGAGAAGGGGATTACGGCTCCCACTGCGGGGGGCAGGTCCACAGAGGCACGGAATGGTTCCCAAGGAATGCTGGCCCCCATCCCTGCCGCACCCACCCAGTGCCTGCCCTGAGGGGTCAAGAGATGCCCAGCCAGACCCTGGTGTCCTGATACACCTGGGCTGCCCACCAGGCAAGGTCACGGCGTGAGCAGGCTCCGGCCCCCGCCTCAGTTATAGAACACCTCGTCCTCCTCCGAGAGGGAGCCACTGTCCACCGACGGGAGGGAGCCCTGCAGGCTGGCCCCACCCTCGGGCCCCGGGGCCCCCAGGAGCTGCTGCCAGCGCTGCTGTTCGGGGCTGGGGGGCTGCGGGCCAGAGGCTATGGTGGGGGGCTCGTCAGATGAGGGCCATCCATCGGGGGAGGAGAAGGCCAGAAGACTGTCATCCTGCGAGGGGACACTCAGAAGACTGTCTTGAAGGTAGATGCTCTCCAGGTCTGGAAAAGCAGCAGGGGTGTGGGGGTGAGGAAAGGAGTTCAGAAGACCCGGCTCCGCACCCTCTCCGGGAGTGTGAGGCAGGGAGAGGGGCAGAAGACCTGCCTCCAAATCTGGCTTTGTCACTGCCAAGCTGTGTGACCTTGGTCACGTCACTGAACCTCTCTGAGCCCCAGTTTCTCCCTGGGGGGGGTGACAGGGTGGTGGTGGCAGTGGCAGTGAGCAGAATAGTTAAGAGCAGGCTCTGGAGCCAGAGCCCTCAAATCCCTCTGCGCTCTGAGAAGTGGGACAGCCAGCGCTCTTCCCAGGCCTCCACTCCCTTCCCTGCCCTCACTGTCGCAGATGAGATAGTGGATGCAGGCGCCACCTAGGACCCAGGCTCCCTGAAGCCCTTGGTAGTAACCTGGGGTCCTAGAAAGGTGGCTGACTGCGCTTGGTGTTAAGGCTCAGATCCTGGCTCTGATGCCTGTAGCTGTGTAATCTGAGGTGAGTGTCTTGATGCCTCCATTTCCCTCATTTGTAAAATGGAGATAACAGCACCTACTTCCTAGAGCTGTCATAAGAATAAAGTGAAATAACACATGTAAAGCACTTAGCACAGTGAGCACTTAATTCATGTTATCTATCTGTCTATCATCTGTCCTTTTCTCCTTTATGCTCGTGGCACTCCTTGGGCAACGGGCAGGGCAAGGATCACCAGCCCCATTTTTCAGATGAAGAAAAACTAAGGCTGAGGGACAGAGGGGCTTGTCTGAGGTCACAGGGCAGAGCGGGCATGCGGCCCCAGCTCTGCCACACCCAGCCCGCCCTGGCGCCCGCGGGCTGTACCCTGTAGCTGGATGACGTCCTGGGGGCTGTTCTCTGGGGGCAGCTCCTCGTCGTCCAGCGAGGACCAGGCACTCAGTGTGGCCTCCGTGATGGCAAACTGCTCGGCAACCCCTGTAGGGGACGGACCCGGCTCAGCAGGGGCACGGGCAGAGGGTGTGGGGGGCCTCCAGTGCCAGGTCAGGCTGGCACCAGACACTGCCTCTTGGGGCTGCCCATCCATGCCTGGGCACGCTGATCAGCATGTGCCCACCAATGCCCCGTCCACCCCATGGCATTATTCTTGCCTGCCCAGACGATGCCCAGGGGGTGACCCTGGGTCCCCTAAGGACTACAGCCCCGGCCAGTCCCCGTCCCCAAGCTCCCCCTCCGCCCTCTGACCTGCAGCAAAGCGGGCCTCGCGCAGCTCATCTGGGAGGCAGCAGTAATGCTCGTCCTCGGCTGTGGACAACTCCCAGCCTGAGCGCTGGGCACTCCAGCCCTTCCACTCGATGAGGTGGGCCACGCGGCCACGTGCCATGGCCGTGGGCTTTGTGATGTGGTCCTTGATGCTCTGCACCACTCCTGGGGCAATTGAGGGCAGCTGAGTGATGGCTCTGACCCAAGGCCCAGCTCAGGGCCCCACCCCCAATACCCCAGGCCCTCCAGTACCTCAGGGCAATCCAATGGCCTGTACCGCACATCCATTCAGCGCCCCGTCCTCTCCCAGTGCCCTGCGTCCGCAAAACCCACACCCACAGAGCTTGCACCTGTCCAGTTCCTCCCGCCAGGACAATGCCTCGTGCCCGCTGCCCGCCTGCCCCACGCCCTCCCACAGCCTGAGGCCCTCTCACGGAGATGCTCCCCACACATCTGCAGGCCCCATGCCCCCCCGCCGTGTCCTGCTTCCAATCAATGCTCCTGCCCACCTGGTGCTTCTTCTCCAGAACTGTCGCACCCTTCATTCCCTCTGTGACCAAGTTTAGACCCTTCTGCTCAAGGAGATTCACTCAAGGATCCGTTCAAGACCCACCCAGCCCTCCCTGTATCCATTAGTTAACAAGTTCCAAGAGAGAGCAGCCCCTGTGCCTAGGACCCTGCCCGCTCAGCTGAGGGTGAGACCTGTAGCAGGCAGGGAAGGCTTCCTGGAAGAGGTAGACTGGAGTCCAGCTTGGAAGGCAGCTTGAGTTGGATAAACAGAGGCAAGACTGGAGGCTATTCCAGAGATGAGAAGAGGATGAAGGCATAGAAGAGTCTGGCATGGTTCCAGGACCACTGGGGACAAGACATGGGGCAACACGAGGAGCAGGGAGGCAGGAGAGGCTGGGAAGCCCAACAGGGGCCAGACCGGGGGCTCAGTGAGCCAGACTGAGGGCGCCACTGTTCTTCTTAGAGCAATGGGGAGCCACAGCAGGGTAATGAGCAAGAGAGTGACAAGCCAGACCTGTCGTTTAGGAAGAACATTAGGGGCCATTTAGAAGAGGATTAGGGGCCAAGGGTGGAGACAGGGGGACATTAGGGGCCATTGAAGGGATCCAGCAAGAGACAGGACAGGGCTGGGCAGATAGGGAGGAGGGCCTGGAGGGGTTCTTGTGAGTAGACCGGTCGGATGTGGAAGATGATAGATAGAAGGTTGTCAAGAATGATTCGGCATCTCCTTTAACCCAGGCTGAGAACTCAGATCTGGGAGTCACTGGTCCCAGAAGCCATAACGTGAGAAGCAGCAATATTTAAGAAAGAAAGGCATCCATGAAGGAAACTGAGACATAAAGCTCTGGGGAAACGGGAAAGATGGAGGTGGAAAGAAGGGGGAGACCCCCCCACACAGGTTGGGGAGTGCTGGCAACCAGAGAAGGTTTCTGGAGGCAGTGGTTCAGTGGCCCCCTGAGGCGCAGGTGAGGTGGAGGGAAGGGGTTTCAGGTGGAGGGAACGACAGGGGCGAATGTGTGGGGGCAGCAAGGGCCCTCTGGGGAGCTGTGAGGGATGTAAAGAATGGGAGCCTGAGGATCAAGGAGCAAAGCTGCGAGCAGAGGCTGGCTGGCCGAGAAGAGCCGGCGCTGTGGTCAACGCGGGGCAGATGCCGTGCTGGTCCGGCGTGCCCGCCCCCTGCCGCTGCAGGTGCTGCTGCCGGCTCATACCTGTGCCCTTCTTGGGAGCCTTGCCCTTAGCTGATGGGAGCTGCCTCACCTAGAGATGCTCGGAAGGTGGCAGCCAGTGATGGACCGATGGAGGAGTAATATGAAACCAGCTACCTTGGGACTTCCCTGGTGGCGCAGTGGTTAAGAATCCGCCTGCCAATGCAGGGGACATGGGTTCGAGCCCTGGTCCGGGAAGATCCCACATGCCGCGGAGCAACTAAGCCCGTGAGCCACAACTACTGAGCCCGCGTGCCACAACTACTGAAGCCCACGCGCCTAGAGCCCGCGCTCCACAAAGAAGAGTGGCCCCCACTCACGCAACTAGAGAAAGCCCGTGCACAGCAGCGAAGACCCAACACAGCCAAAACAAACAAACAAACAAATACATTTATAAAAACAAAACCCAGCCACCTCGCCCCAAAGTGCCATGAATTCTGCGGTGCAAGTCATGCTCCCGTGCTCCCCATGGGATCAGGCTGAGAAAGACAAGACTTCCGCAGCTACACCTCTGCTGAGCTCCCTCCCCTGCCCTGTCCTGCTGCCCTTGCTCCCTACAGGCTTCCTCCGAGAATAACCTCTCAGGAAATCACTAGCACAATTCCCCTCTCGGGCTCTGCTTCTAGGGAATCTGACCCAAGTTGGCACGAGGGCAGGTTTCATGTGCTGCAGAGAAGCAGGGAGACCACAGCTGGCA